AGTAAATACCGGAAAGTAGTTTATTAGTAAAGAGTTTACTTAGCTTATAAATACTATAGGAACTAAGGTTAAAATTGTTCCTATAGAAGCTTATAGTTCCTTCGGAATTATAGAATACTATTATAGCCTAATTTAATATACTTACCTTATTATTATAACTAAAATTAATGGAATTAATAAGGATACTATATTCTAAATAGTTTTTAAGGCCATTAATAATTCCGCTAGACCTAATAGTATTATTCTAATTCTTTTAATTTATAGTATTTTATCCCGAATAACCGAATATAATACCCTATTACTAATTATATTATAGTAATTAGTAGTACTTAAGAAGGTAATAGTAGAAATTCAGAAGCTTTGAGCTAGATACCAGATTATAAATATCCTAAATATCCGAAATAGTTCTAGTATTACTAATATTTATAAATTTCTCTTGAATTTGAATATTCTTATATAATATAAAGGAAATACTAATTAACCTAGTAATTGAGATAAGCCATATAAGCTAGTAGCTATTAATAGAGAGAACTATATACTAGCTCTACTATATAGTAATATTACCTTTTATTTAATCTTTATAAAGCCCTTTTATATAGGAGATATTAAGGTTATTACTAATAGTCCCGAACCTAAACCTGTTTCCGAACTTTATAATAAGGCTAAAGGTAATACAGGTATAATTTCTCTTACTATTCCTGCTATTTTACTAAAGTATAATAGAGGATACCCTTATAAAAACCCGGATTTTATAGTATTCTTATAGGATAATAACCTATATAAGAACTTCTATTAAGTTAAAGTTACTAGCTTTCTAGAAAAGAGTATATTTAAAATTATTTCTAGATCTCAGATACTAAAGAAGATATATATTTTTAATTCCCGGTTTATTAATAAGATTAAGAATAAGAATATAAAGAGAGAGCTTAAGAAGTTAAGACTAGTTATCTAGGCTTATAATAATAATAAGAAATATATAATATTAATATAATTGCCTATTATTTAATATATTAGCTAGAGAATTATCCTTAGTATTACTATTATAATAATAAATATTATAGAGCTATATTTATATAATATCTCATAAGTTTATATCTAATTAATAACTTTATTTAACTATAATTTTTATATTAACTCGCCTTATAAGCTTACTAGAGAGCTAAATCTAAATAATAATTCGGTTTTAAAGGTTATAAAACTACTATATAATATACCGGAAGCTAGGAACTACTAGTTTAAGACTTACTATTCCTACTATATTAATGAGCTTTCTATAAAATAATTAACTTATAACTCTTGCCTTTTCTATAATAAGTAACTCTTCGGAATTATTAGCCTTTAAACTAATAATACCCTATTTATTAGAACTAATAATTTTATAAAGATAAAGTAACTAAAGCTCTAAGAAGCTAAGTTCTTGGCTAAAGAGTATAAATGCCTTACTATTAACTATAATCTCAAGTTTAATAGAAGTATTATTTATACGGATATTACTAGAATTATTCTTATATAAGAATACTAGTATAAAAACCTCTGAACTATTTCTATAAAGAATACTATTACTATAAGTAATAGGAGTACTATTTATTAAGATCTTTCTATTAAGAACTAATATATTACCTAATATATTAGAAGAATATATATTATATTAGTTTATTAACTAGAAGCTTTATATAATCTATTAATTACTATTTAAGCTATTAAACCCTCGGAAACTAATATAAAGGCACTTAATAAGTATATTTAATAATAAATTGAGAATACTACTAGAGAACTAAGATTTATAAAGCTAGTAAAGAAGTTCTTATATTTAATTATTTTTATAAATACTTTATTTACAAATAATAGAGATTTCTTCTCCCAAATCAGATATATTTTAGTTCTAGTAAATAGAACTAAATATACTAATATTATTTACTAGTTCTCTACTAAATACAAGAGAATTACTAGAAGTATTCTAGCTTCGGAACTCTATAGTATGGCTTATAGCTTTAATATAGGCACTTTAGTCAAATCTATAATTAATAAAGTACTAGAAATAGAACTATTACTAGTAGTTTATACGGATTCGAAGTTATTATATAAATGCCTTATTAAATTAGAAACCACTCGAGAAAAGCATCTAATAATTAATATAATATACCTCTACTAGGTATATAAATAATAAGAGATTATAGAAGTTAAATAGATTAAGAGAGAATTAAATCCTGCCGATTTCATAACGAAATCAAAGCTAATAAATACCCTCAAGTACCTAATTAATACGAATATTATATAATTAGATATAAAGAAATAGGTCGAGTATAAATAGAGCAGGAAATAGATATATGAAATAAGAGAATATTATAAGAGGGGAAATTATATATAAAAGGCCATAGCCTTTAGTATATAACTAAAACCTCGGAAGTAATATAAATATATAAAATATTTGGGAAATCTGGTACTAGGCCGGATTAGGGAATTTGTATATAATTAGAGGGAAATATTATTTTTTGCGTTTTTAGAAAGTTTCTAGTATTAGTATAGCTATTTCTTTAAAAGTTATATATATAGTTACGGGATACGGGATACGGGATATAGGTAATAGGATATAGGTAATAGGATATAGGTAATAGGATATAGGTAATAGGATATAGGTAATAGGATATAGGTAATAGGATATAGGTAATGAAATATAGGTAATGAGATATAATTATATAACCTCATATCTTATTAGTAACTTAACTAGTAGACTAGACTCCTTTAGGTTTAGTAGATTTAGGGATTATATATTAATACTATAATACTATAATTCCTATTTCTGAATAATAACTTTACTAACTATATATAAATAGTATTTTATAACTTATATAACGGTATTATATATTACTAGTAAATTAATAATAACTTATTAGAATTAAGGATCCTATTCTATTTATAAGTAAGGATAATTACTAGATTAATAATTAGATATTTAATATAAGAAATAAACTAATATAAAACTTTTCTAAATTTAATAATAAATTACTAAAAATTATTTATATAATATAACTAATTACTAGAAATACTCGTAACTTTATTTATAATTAACTAGAACCTAGATTAGTTAAATAGATCTTAATTATTAAATAGATTTTCAAAATTCTTTAGTAAACTTATAATAAAAATAAAGAGATAAAATATTAGAAAATAAAAAAAATATACTAGTATTTGAAATAAAAAAATAAATTATTTCTAATATTCTAGATAAAGTTTATTTATTTAATAATAAAACTAAAGAAGTTACCGGATAATTAATATAATAATTTAATAAATAAAATAAATCTCGAATTATTTAAAGGCTTAAATAATAAGAAGTTTAATATATTTAGGGATCTTATTAAATAGTATATAAAATAAGAAAATAGACTTCTTTTAATTAAAAATAAATAATTCTAAAAGAAATAACTAGTAGAAATCATTTATTATTAAATATTATTCCGAATTAGAAAGCTTACCGGAATTTAAAAAGCTATAGTAATCTTATATTTAATAGATTAATCTTAATAGCCGGTATTCTTATAGCTAAAAAAAAGTAGTTTATTAAGAATTTAAAAAGAGATTAGACTAGCCAGAGAGTTTTTATTATTATAGCTATAGAAAGCCTAGATATATAAAAAGTTCTTATTCTAATTTTAGTAAGGTTATATTTATTAAAGAGAATTATTTAGAAAAAGCTAATAATTTAAAAGCAAATAATAAAAATACCGACTTTTATTTATTATTTAATAAGAAATATAATATTAATAAATCGGGAAAAGTCTAGCTCTAAATATAAAAATAGTCTTTCTAAAATAAGAACTTTACTAAAAGCCTATAGATCTTATTTAACTAATTAGTAGAAACTAGTTCCTTATTAATTATAAAATAAGCTAAAAAGGCAAAACTATAGCCTTTTAATATTTAGTAAAGCTATTTAATATCTAGCTATTATAGATCTAGCTATTAATTAATATTTCTAAACTTAATAATATTTACTTATTACTAATCTTGGCTTTTATAATATAATTCTAGAAAAGAAATAGCTAGTAAAATATAATATTCTATTAGACTATTAATAGAATTAATTCTATTAGCTAGATCTTATTTAGAAAATATTAAAAAGATAACTATTCTAAAAATATTCTAATTAGAATCCTAAAAAAAACTAGTAAAACCAGATCCGAAAAGTAAAAGAATATACTTTTTATTTTTCTATAAGATCTTTTTATAAGAAAAGCCAAATACTAGATAAATAAAAAAAATAACTAGATTTTAATACTTTTAAAATAGGCAAGCTACTAGATTATTTCTACTATTTTCTAATTAAATATTAAAGATTCTAGTAATTTAATTAAATTAGTTATTATTAATAAGATTAATTATATATTTAAGAAATAGAATTATAAATTAAAAAAATATTTACTATTACTTATAATAATTAGATAACTAATACTATAGCCTACCAAATATTATATTTAAACTAATAATCTAATATATTTCCTAAATATAAACGAATCTAATATTTTTAGTAATATACTCTATTTAATAACCGGACGGCAAACTGGCTACTGTTTTCGGAGGGTTTAGTCACTGCTTTCTACAGCCAACTTGCCAAATTCTCGCGCTGCTCTAACGCTCGCGTACCTGGCCAAGGCGGCATGACCCTAGCCGACTATAAGAACACCCAAAATTAACAACCGCTTTTCTACTCTCATTCCTACTTCTGATAAGACTTTTCAGGGAGCAGAAAAAATGGATGCCCACCATCCCCTTGGTAACTTAAGATGGCTGTCATCCTATTTATTCGTCCATTTTCTCTCCCTTGTCCATCTGCTCTTTCCTCCACACCTCTTATGCTCAACTACCTCTTTCTGCTCTATTTCTCTCCTCTCCTCCGAAACCGTTTTTTGGCAGCAGGTCCTTTCTAACATATTCTCCTTTGACTTCTGAATTCATAGTTATTGTCATCGTCATCGTCCCCTTTGGTTAATAGTGTCGATATGCGTCGTCGCCAACCAACACCAAGCCCTTCCTCCTCCGATAACGATGGGTCCCCTTGCATCTAAAGCCAAAATTGCCCAATATCCCTGTCTTCCGCTATTTCGCAATCAAGAATTCTTCTCTCCAAACCCCCTTTTGGACAACACTTGCTATCACGCCGAACCTAAGATACGCCATCGCTCAAGCATTCCCCGACGACAATTTGCCCTCGCCATCGATTACAGCTCAAGAATACGTCGACGCACTCAATCACTCAAAGTTGCTTGCAGTGAAAGACCTCTTCGTCAAAACAGTCGCAGACAGAGATGCGACTCTTGAGTCAACAAACATCCTTCTCTTCAGAGCTCTCCACACCCTCGCCATAATCTACGCCGAGCTTGAACAATGGCAAAATGCAGAGAGTACATACAAGAAATTGCTAGCGGAAAGTGACAAGATTCTGGGACCAGATTCGAAAGTAGCTGCCGGGGCAGTTTCTAATCTGGGGAAAGTCTATGAGCAGCAGGGGAAACATGAGGAGGCTGAAACTATACTTCGACGAGCGAAGTTGTGGGCGGGAAATAATCTTGAGGGGGAGAGCCCGCAGTATCTTGGTGCTGTTCAAGGGTTGATTCCTGTTTTGACGAAACAGGGGAAGCTTGGAGAGACAGAGAAGATGTTGGAGGAGGGATTGACCCTTGTGAGGAAGATGTCTGGGCGGTTTAAAGAGGAGGATACGGTGGAGATGGAGGCTGTTGCTAAGGGTCTTGTAGCGTTGAAAAAGTAGCATCATTGTGTTGAAGAGAAAATGAATATAAATGAGGGGGTTACTCAAGTCCTTGGTTCGCTAAATAGGTACTATATGCTCAACTTGAGTAATGATAGTAGACCAAAGGGATTGTTAAACTTGCAATCTGCTAGTGGATGAACTGTCTTGCTAAGGTCATGTCTACCAGAAAGAGCATCGAACAATTATAACAGACTCAACGCCCCATTGAAAAGGATATTGCCATCAATTACCGCCGAGAAGCTCAGGTTCGATATTGCGGAAAGAGATGGCTGAGGAGTGAACTAAGTCTTGGAGGCTATCCTTCAAGGCAGCTTGTTTCTGAAGTAGCACTACATCAGACAAGATTGACCACATGAAACGTCACAGAACCAAATGTCAACTGGTAGTCACTGACCTGAACAACAAGATTCGCAGCACGCTGTCCAACACTCTTTCTATTCTTAGCCAGCTCTAATACCTTTTCCTCAAGCTGTGCATCTGTTCTCTCTACATGAAGTTCCAGGGTGGTGAGCCGAGCAACTTCGGGAAGGACGAAGGTAGAGGAAACCTCGGAGTATATTGCAGAAACCATCGCGGCGTATTGGAACCGGGTCTTCATATCGAAAGCACCAGCAAGCATGACCTATACGATGAATAGTAAGCAAGACTGAGTAGTCTATTCATAATTCAGGCCAAGCTCTTACAGATTTGATCTCAGGAAGCCCCTCTTTATCCTCGGCCATTCCGAATACTATGTCGCTGTTTTCTACTGTATGATTAATGATGCGCTGAAGAGTAATGAGAAACGTCATGAAGTTGTCGATGTGCTGTTGTAGCATATGCAACCGGTAGATAGACTTGGACACGATTCCCTTGATCGTCGACTTCGATCAGGGCACAAAATATTTCAGCGAAGGCTTTCTACTATGGTTTGTGGTAGTATCATGACTTACTATTGAGCTTGTCTCATTCGCCAGTTCCTTTAGAGCATTTTTCAGCTCCGCTGTCTCCTCCTCCAGCCTCCGAATCTCGGCTTGTCGAGCTTTCTCAGCTTGCTCTCCTTTCTCGATCTCGTCCTTCAACATAAGGTAGTGAATCCAGGCACATCCTGTGCCAATGACAAGAGGAACACCCAGGACTGGCATGGCCACCGCTGTGGCCAAGCTTTCGGCCATAGTAGCGGCGCTGACTGCATTGACAATTGTTACTTCCCGTCAATTATCCAAGGGAAGCTTTTGAAACCAGGAAAACCCACCCATTTTTCCAAAGTGGCTGTCATACCACTTTTTAAAGTTTTTGGCATCTTGGAGCCGTTCCTTGTGTTCCTGGCTGCATTTTCCCTCTTTAATATTCTCCTCAGTGTTCAGTTCGATCTTCGTTTTATTCGCTTCTGCCTGTTTCTTCTTTTCTCTTTCAAGATGCAGATTTTCGCCTCGGCTAGGTTAGCTTCATGCCGAGAAACCTGCTGTGCAAGATAGCAATGATGTGGTATTAGCACCTACTAGACTTGTCTTCCAATGCTCGCAATATATTGACGGTGAGCTTTACCCACGCTCTAAACCTCTCTCTCACCGACGTGATCTTGTCTACAGATTCTTTCACCATTTTCTGTCCTTTGGTCAAAAGTCGCTTGAGAAGTCTGTCATGAGCCGCGCTTTGATTTGGCTGGCAAAATCGAAGGATTAACTCGATCTTTCAACGCAAATTAGCTCAACGTGGTGCTGTTGACTAGCATCAAATAATCCTACCACGCCATTCTCTCTGCCCAGCTCGCTCGCTAGCACTGCCACTCTCTTCATGTCTTCGTCCGTGTCTTTTAGGGTATCTTTGCCCACCTGTTCACAATGCCTAACGTTCGCAGAGAGGTAGTCGTACCTTCATTCGTCAGACTAATGATTAGACCTATATCCTGGTTTTCAAACTAGAAACAGATTTTGGGGAGTAAAGAAGAGGTGATTATACTCTAAGCCTTGTCCCTTAAGTTCGATCGCCAAGCCATCAGACTTGGAGGTGATCAGAAGGCACTCTGCCAAGATCCAAACACACTCGGGAGCAGCGCGGATGTCGCGACTCCAGTCGCGATTATAGTCTTCCTCCTGGAAGCTCTTTTCAAGCCTTGCCACTTGAGTATCCAGCGCTTCCATGTTGTCGGATATGGTGGCCGAAGTATTGAGCTGCAGAGGATTGACGTTACCAAAAGGATGCCGAACGACTGTCTTGACTTCAACGAGAATGGACGATGCGTCTTCTTGAAGAATTACAGCTGTGTGATCTGCTGTCCATGCCGCAGTACTTATGAAAAACTCCCAAGTCCCCAAGGCTCTCAATTACTGGCATACTTGGAGATAGCTTCAGCCCTGCCTTTTAAATCAGCAGCCCAAGCTGCAGGCCTAGTCCGGGGTCAATGTAGTTCATCGCAAGGCTCTGTTGGGTATGTGGCGCGATCTCATTCGTTTAAGCCTACGAAACCTCCTTGGAGTTTTGCCTTACCAAATCACAGTTAAAGTTTGAGTTAGGGAATTTGATGACATGCATCAAGCGGCGTAAATGCTCGTTATGATTTGAAGTTCGGACGCAACTGTACGCCGCTAGTGGTTGTTTCTAAGTTCTCACAACCCGGGCGTCGTTTACCAGATTCTCGCATCAGTCAATGTGTTCCAATCATAATTACGCTGGATAGACCAGGAAACGGGTCCTGAGCGGACACAGGAAATCTTTCTATTATCATTCGATACCAGACAGCGCTTCTTGACCGGACGGACTTAGCTTAACCATTGACTTATTGGACAGCCGAAGCCAATGATCGGCAACTACACAGCGACTGGCTGGGCTAATGTATAGTCGTGGAAATATCAGACGGTTAGCGAATGGCGAGGCTCTGATGACCTAGTGTGTCTGACTGGGGCCTCACCGAGTAGGCACAATCCTTAGGACTGTGTTGCTGCCTAAACGCCTACAATGGCTGGGCCAAACGGACTTAAGTGAGTATTTGCCGCGATCCTGCAAAAATCTCTCAGCCTCTTCTCGTCTCCCCTATCTGCAACCCAGGCATTATGGACAGAAAACCTCAATCTCTCAATCCGGCCGTTCTTTTGCCCATCCTCTGGCCATATGTCTCTTACAACCCCATGTCCGACGTGCTTATTAGCCAGAAGTCGGATCCAGTCGTCTACAAACCAAAACTTCCTCAATGCGGACTCGCTTCAGAGTCCCTTCCGGACGAACCACTTGAGTGGATCCGTGGGTGTTTGAAACATGATAAAGCATGCCATGTAGCTTGCCATAGTCGAGGAACCTCAAAATTTCTTCCCTCAAGGCTGATTGATATCTCTCTCGACGATCTTCCCCCACGGGCACGCCTTATTGATACTAATATATGTACAGTGGAAGACCCGAGATACGTCGCCCTAAGTCACAGGTGGATTGATAAGGAGATTTTCCAAAGCCTGGAGCTGACAACAACAGAAAACACGCTGTCAACACGAATGAACGGTATCGATGTGAATAAGTTGTCAAAGACCTTTCGGTTTGCCATCGATGTCTGCCGCTGGCTTGGCGTACGTTATCTTTGGATCGACTCTTTCTGTATTATACAGGTAAGGGGATATCCGGCAAGTCCACACATTTGCTTATCACTAATATTTGCCAAAGGATTCCCAGAGTGACTGGAAGACCGAGTCATCTAACATGGCCCAAGTCTATCGATGCTCGTACTGCACCATTGCGATCAACATACCTGAGAAGAAAAATGAGCCATTGTGGAGTCATTGCGGCTACGTTAGTGAAACTTTAGCCTCTGGATGGGTTGTGGACTACGTCAATGCTGGTAGTTGGAAATCCACATCTAGTACTCTTTGGACGAACCTGCTCAGAGGCGGCTTGCTTGGCTCTCGTGGGTGGTGCCTCCAGGAGCGGCAGCTCTCACCACGGATGTTCCACTTTCTAGAACCGGGAATGATTATGTGGGAGTGTTGCCACTTCATCGCTGCCTTAGGGGGCCCAATCTTGTTCGGTCCCAATGGCACCCATTCAAAGGAAACTAAGCCTGACAATGAGAAACGAATCATCGACATTGAAGGAGAAGCCGATCTTGAGCTATTCACAGCTACCATGTGGCCAGGCAGTGAGGAGGCTGCTCTAGAAGCCTCTTATCGGTCAAGCTATCGTGGAAAAGAACGGGAGGTCATGGATGCTTGGTACAACTTGCTGACGAACTATACCTCGCGTTCACTGACCTTTGAATCGGACCGACCGATTGCTATTGTCGGCCTCGTCAATCAGGTGAAAGCAATGACAGGCTTCACATATTTCCACGGGCTATGGAGCGAAGATCCTGTCCGTGGACTGCTTTGGGAGAGACAAAACTCAACCGGGCACAACTGGACCCGCATACCGATAAATGGAAGGCCAGAACCTCCAACGTGGTCGTGGTTATCCATCTCCGGTGCTGTGAATGAAGTGGCTGGAAACGACGAGGACACAAACCCACCGCTATTTGAGGACACGCGTGAGTGTCGTCCTATTTTCGATCATACCTATGAACTTGTGGTGAAATCTATCGTTTTCTCAGAGAAAAGTTCCTATGTGGCTATCTCTGCCCCAGTCATGTCAGCACAATTGAAGTATAGTGTCCCAACGGCCGAAGTGGGGACCCAAGGAAGGACTGTAGCTGTTACTCACAACGCGGAGAGATTTCTAGGACAAACAGTTGCTTGGGCATGTTTGGATATTCCCACAGAAAACTACAATGGAGCTGTCACAATTGCTATCCTTACGAGTTCGTACGGGCTCCTCCTAGAAAGAACAGGGAACCTGAACCGATATCGTAGGCTTGGGGTGGTCAGAAACCTGCCGGACGTAAATGAATATTGGTGGGACCTCAGCAATAGTGAGCCCCAGGACATTGTCGTTGTGTAACTGGACCAAGGGTATGATGGTTTCCAGGCGCTTGTATGTACGAAGACATCGAGCTAATGAACATGTTACGCAAGACTTATATAGTACAAATCGGTCGTCTGGTGGATTGCTCTCGTCTAGAGCTACTTTCTTCTTTGGCTTAACAAATTTGCCGAGCCTTCTGGCATATTCTACACAAGCAGGAGTGTTCCACCAATGAATATGAATTTGAAATCCATCAATGCTGCTTTTGCGCATTCAATTTCCGCAACAATACTCAATTTTTGACAAGAATTCAGCACTCAGAAAACCTGTACCCAAGCAGTATAGAGAGCCAGTGCCTACTCTCGATCAGAGGTTACGCATGCAGAATCTCTTTTTCAAAGCCAACTTTGACCTCAATCAAATACCCCTACAAACAAGGCATACCCACCAACAAGTTTACCATGCAATTCAGTACCTACCGCCATCCCGCTCAAAAGTATACAATTGACAGGAGAGTACTACTTAGTACTTGGTACCGTTAAGGAAGGAGTTAATGAGTATGTACAGCCTCTACAGAGAACCGTTGAATACCATGGATAGCGATTCCCAAAATCCTTGGTTGGGATTGTGGAGAGAAAAGTAGAGAAGGAGAGGCAAGCTTTGCGTCTAAACGAGCACCGTTCAATGCACCCGATATGTAACCTACACCCCGCAAACAATACTGCACCATTTTCGTCGTCAGGCCGGACCACGTTCCAGCGCGTGCGCACTGCAGGCCGAGTCCTGCCAGGGAACTTGCCGAAGATCCAGTTCCAAGCCTTCCCCTCCTTATATGCATCCGTTATCGTTGCTGCTACGGCATGAGGAAACTTACCAGGAAGCTACCGACACGTCATCCTCCTGCGGCGCAACTAGGCAGAACCCAGGCCGCGTTGTCGTGAGGCATCATTGTGCTGTAAGGAGTGCAGGCTGAGTCTGCGGCATCTCAATCTCCGAAGCGGCCCGTTGTGAGGGACGGTGGTGGTGCGACGACGAGGCAGATTGCGAGAAGGTTAGGATACGGAAAGCTCGTAACTCAGCCAATACGAGGCAGCCTTGGGGATCCGCAGTGTCACAGCTGCTCAGCAGCATTAAAGTTGTAGAGGCGATCGTGGATTCTGGTTGAAGCTGCCCCGCACCTTGCTAGCGTCGTCTTCTCAGCTGCGGCGTGGCTGATCAGGGGAGCCTGGTAGGAAGGGATGGAACCTAGGCAGAAGGGCCGAATGTGCATAAAGAGTGAGTACCGAGCGTTGTAAGGTGGAGGTTGTTGGGTTATTGAAAAGGAAGGAAGGAAGAAGGGAAAGGAGCGAGCGATGATAGAGTCGCGAGATTTTTATCCCTTCGTCCGCCATCAACTGTCCACGCTAGCAGGGGGGGCCTGGCTCGGGGAAAACGTGTGCCTTTGCTTAGAAACCTATTAGTCATCTATCGCGTTTTCGCCCTGAGCCAGGCCCCCCTGCTAGCGTGGACAGTTGATGGCGGACGAAGGGATACCCCGCGAAAGCGGCGCCCGGCCCGTGCACGCGCCTTGCCCGATGCGGGCTTGCCGTCTGGTCGTTTACTTTTAGAATAATTAGATAGATTTATTTCTAATACTTAATATTATAGGTACTACTTGTTTATATAAATTAACTAGCTTATTTCCCTTAATAATTAATTATAGATATAAATCCAGACTAAACTTTAACTAAATATTACTGTTGGTATAGCTGTTCCTTTGGGAGTCACGTGCGTAGTCACGGGACACGGGACACGGGACATGGGCAATGGGACATGGGCAATGGGACATGGGATACGGGACATGGTCATGTGACCTCGCGTCCCATTGGTGACTCGACCAGTAGACTAGACCCCTTTAGGCTTAGCAGATTTAGGGATCGCATATTAACACCACGATACTGCGATCCCTACTTCTAAACAACAACTTCACTAACCTTACGCAAATAGCATTCCACGACTTACGTAACGGTGCCATGCGTTACTAGTAAACCGACAATTACTAATAATAGAATTTAAACTACTAAGAAAGAAACTTAATCAGGAAAAAGTATAATAGTAAACTAAAAGAATTAATATTACTATTAATTATATCCGAGAATATATAATAATAGTTTAGGAGTATTAAGCTAAATAAACTAATAAGAAATAGTAAGAACTAGACTTTAATCTAGGAAATATAATTTATATAATTAAAAAGATATAAAAAACAAATTATTTATTTAATAAATTAGATTATTTCTTTACTAGACTATTTAAAATTAATAAAATAGTCGGCTATTTATATTAATTAGACTTTTTTCTATTATATAGGATTTGGCTAATCTTTTATATAAATAAGCTTTATAAAAATTCTATTAATCTATTACTTAACTAAACTAATAAAAAGCCTAGTTTTATTAAAGTTAATAATAAACTCGAATAGGAAGTCAAAAAGATCTTTTCTTCTAAGGTACTTTATAGTAAGCTTTATTATAAGATTAAATAAAAGAAATAAGATATAAATAATAAATAGTATTTTATATTAAACTTTAAGAACTTAGTATTTAAATTATATAATTTTATAAGTAGAATTCTAGTAAAATAGGACCTCTTATCTAGCTAAATAAATGAATTTAGTATATTAAAAAAAATTTTAATAAAAATTATTTAGATAATAATAAACCTTAATAATAAGGCCTTTATAATTAGAGAAAGAAAAAAAAAACCTAGATATTTCTCGGGTTTTATCTAAATTCTAGTATATTTTCTTTATTCTATTATATTAATATTTATTTTATTTTTTAGAAATCTAAATAAAATATCTTTTTTTATTATATTAGATTATATTTTATTATTTAGGTAAATTATAAAAAAAAAGTAAATTCTTAAAGCTAAGCCAAAAATAAATACTTGCCTATATTAGTTTAAAATATTATTAAAAATTAAAAGAAATCTTTTTAATTATTTTAACTTTTATAACTTTAATTATTTATATTATTACTATTACTTTAATAGAACTATTAATAAAAATAAAACAAATAAGAAATCCTAGTAATATATTATTTATAGCTAGATTAAGTAAAGCTATTTACTAGATCCTAAATAACTTAAATAGTAGTAATAGTATTTTAAGTTTAATAGCTATAATTATTATTAATATAATTATTAGTTAAATTATTTTTATAAATGAAAATAGTAATTTCCTTACCTAAAAATAAATTAATATATAAAATATGGCCTATATTATTCTCGAGAATATATCTGAAATTACTATAAAGAATATTTTAGTAAAATATTCTAAGAATAATAAAATAAAAGCTTTAATTACTAGTAATAATAAGCCTAATAGTCTAATAAATAAAATAAATAATACTAATAAGAACTACTTAATTAACTTTACTAAATTAGATACTAAGAAGATTAATAAAAATAAGGCTAGTATATTTAAAAAAAAATATAAAATATTAAACTATAATAAGAATTCTAATAATAAAAAGACTAAGAATAGAAAGAATTCTAGTAATAAAAGAGATTCTAATTATAGTAAAAATAGCTAAACTAGTATTAAGATATTTATTATAATTAGGAAATATATAATACTAAATAATAGTTATTATATAAAGTACTAGTCTAAAACCAAAAGCTAATAAATAATTCTAAAAGCCAAATTAAAGAAGTAATATTCTATAAATATTAATGAATTAGTATATAATACTATTTGGGAAATCGGAAAACCCCTTAGAAGTTTCTATAAAACCAAAATTATAGAGCTTAAGGCCCGGGAATTTAATAATAAAATAGCTCAAATATCTGGCCTTAATATATAAGTTACTAAAATAGAGAACTAACTTGAGGATATATATATTAAGCTCGAGAAGGCCCAGAAGTTAATTAAGTAATTTAGAAGCGGTATAATTAAGCCAAATATTACTATCCTAACTAAGAAGAAAGGCAAGTAAGCTATTATATTAAAGCCTACTGTGACGGCGGGATCAATGCAATGGTCGAAGGCTCAAAGTTCAAAGAATCTCATGTATTGGAAAATACTAAGCTATGGAACAAAGTAGGGAGAATGCCTCGACCTTTTAGTATTATTCCGTCCAAGCAATTCTGGCTTAGCTTCGTTTTATACCTGTTTCCGATATCCTGTCCTTGGCAGATCATGCCCTTACGCCAGCCGTCACACCTACCTTAATAAATAGACTTGATCTGCTATCCCTATTCAAAGACCGCCCAATAATAATAGTTCTAATATTGGCCATGGCCTATATAGTACTTCCAGACCATATTATTAATATGGGTAAAGATATAATGCAAGTAACGGATACTAAGAACTGGCCGGAATATACTAGGAACTGGGTTATTTTGGCGGAGTCAAGACTATGCTTTGATTACAAGTAAGCTATAGGGATTAGACGGAATAGGGTTAATGGCCGTTATTTCCTCTTTTTTCTTTCCTATATTATGGCTGAATAATCCTCTAAATAAGGGCATTTAGACTTCTCTTTGGGGGGGGGGGGTAATATAACGGCTGGCGTAAGGGTATGATCTGCCAAGGATAGGATATCGGAAACAGGTATAAAACGAAGCTAAGCCAGAATTGCTTGGGCGGAACAATACTAAAGGTCGAGGCATCCTCCCTACTTTATTCTATAGCTTAGTATTTTCCAATACATGAGATTCTTTGAACTTTGAGCCTTCGACCATTGCATTGATCCCGCCGTCACACTTGTCTAGAGGCACATATGCCTTTATGCCTTTGCATGAGGGTTATACGCTCAATACCAAAATCCCTGGCCACTTGACTGTAATTAGGGATCAATTACGCATCTAGCGCATTAATCGCTTGCTCAATATCTTGTTCGCTGACCATTTTATCGAATTTTGAAGATGGAGGGGTAATATTTTGTAAGGTGTGCATTCGCTTGGGGTGTGCATTGACTAGGGATCTCGGTTATCCGAAGAGGCACACTCCGTCTCCCCGTGGACGCTAAAATTGCAGTGCGTTTTCCAAAAACGAGATGAAAAGTCGCCAATTCTACAGACAGCCGCACGACTATCAATGAGAAGGCTGCTATGGGCTTCCTTTCGTAACAGGCAGCGCATCTCAAGGCTTTCTTCTTGGCTCAGATTCCAAGAGTGTCTATGCAATACCCTTCTATATAATTGTAAATGAGGGATTTGACTGAACTGGAATTGTGATTGGAGGACATGTGTGTATGACTTGAAAGTAGGATGGAACAAATGATAAGCCTGGCATTGAGAAAGCATGCTGAACATTTGCTGCGAAAGATTTGCAATGAGGTGAGGTGTGATGAAGCGAGTCAGTGGCGGAGGAAGTGGGTGTGGAAAGCACATGAATTTAGGGAAAGAATCCCAGCCGATGAAATTATCTGGTCTCACGGAAGGAAAAGAGATGGAATGTATATAAATATCCATAGGGGCCTGATCCATCTCCGCACGAATCAATCCTGGTTTATCAAGGCGACGACCTGCTTTGATTCCACCATCTGAGTGCCATAAATCATTCTCTAAGTCTCTTTCTTCACTTCCACAAATCTTTCGTCCCTGGGATATGGAGCGGCAAGTATTCTCGTTGCTGCGTCACGGTCTCTGAGACGTCGAGTTGCGGATCTGCAAGGCACTGAGAGGAAGCTGGGCTTCTTCTGCTTCGTCTTCGGGCAATTTGACTTCAGCCAGAGGTCTGCGGCGTGGGCGGTCCGGACATTCATGTCCAAGCTTCGATCGGTCACCGGGTTCACGTTGCAGCAGCTCTCAACATTCCTGGCAGCCCCAATCTGGTTTGGAAATTGATCTTCGCCGAAGTTCACACTTTAACCCAAGACTTGTATCCCACTTCAAGTGGACACCGCAGTAGCCTTGCCAAGCTGCTCATCCAGTATTCTCCTCACAAGCCTCAGATTCCTCTCCCTAGCCAAATACCGGCTCGCACTATCAATCTCCCTCCCTCCCAGCAACTCCTGCATCGGCATCTTCTCAAGAGGCTTAGGTCGCGGCATGACCTTCCCAATATACAGGAGTTCGAGATCCAGATATTGTGCCGTAGCCAGGACTTAAACTTTCTCGGCATCAGCAGCAGGGGACGAGGCTCGTAATGAGGCTAGCTGAATCATGAGATTTGAGAGGCTCCAGTCTGGATCGTCGGTGCAGGCAACACACTATGCTTGGTGACGGAAACGTAAGAAGGCTTTCGGAATTGGGACCACGCGCTCGAGATAGCTTGGGATGAGGACGGAGCTGAGGTGGAGGAACATGGCCAGGCTGACAGGGTCTTCGAATTGCTTGTCGCCTCGGAACTTCAGCAAGGCTAAGGCGCCATCTAGGTGCTTGGTTGCGGCAGCGAGGGACATAGTCTCGTCTCGAGTTAGATTCTCGAAGAGATCGAGAAGCAGGACCGTGAGAAGGATGTTGTTTTTCTTAGCGGGGTTCTGAGAATGCAGAGCTTTGTTCGTGAGTGACAAGGCAGAGCAGTAGGCTTTGCGTGCCTTTTGCTAGACAGCGGAAGGGCCCGCCTCGTTGGAGAAAATAGGCGAGGCTGACAGCTCTGAAGGTATGGCAGAAATAGAGGTCTTCTCCCGCAGACGGGTAGAAAGGCTTGACCCAGTTAAGAGGTGGAGAACTACCGAACACGTAACGAGCAACAAGGATGTGTTTGGCTCAGTCTTCGACGGAGGAATTGAGGCCCGGGGAGCAGTCCAAGTCAAAAGCTTCCGGATGACCTTTGGGGTTTGTAGATAGGTGGGTTTCGAACCCCGACTCGACAGACGATGGCTTGATGGGCTTTCCTGCGTTGCTTTCGTTGCGTTGAGCTGTTGTCTAGATTCATTATCACCTCTCACAGTCCGCCATTCTCTGTGTTCTTTCCATCGTGGGTCTCTTAAACACCGATGGAAAGCCAAGCACTAGCATGATACAATCTGGTAAGATTCCGGTCCAGACATCTGTCAAAATAAAGCCTCGATGGTGAAGTTCACCGTATATCGAATCTCTGTAACTGATCTGGAGCATTCTCTATCAGTTCTTCTAGTAGCTTTATCATTTCTTTTGCCGGTGTGCCATAGATGTAGCATTCACCAATGAACCGGTAACCACCAGCATCGTTTGGCCGAAGAATCGTCGGTGAGGTGCATCCGATGAACTGGCAGACAATATCACCTGCTTCCACCCAGAACGGAGCTAGACAAAGTAGCAACGAATCAGTCTTAATGACCGTGCGACACTGTGTTATCACCTTCAAATCATCGAGAGTGCTTCTGAATTCATGGTTGAGACTGTTAGTTCTTTGGATAACGTTTGTGGGACGCAACACCGATTGAGTTGGTCTGGTTAAGTCTTCGTTTAACTTCGAATGGAGAACTCCCAGTAGAACGTTCGCAGCTTCTTCATGGCCGGGCGAGGCGAGGCAGGATCGAAGGCTAGAGTGTCGACCCACTCGAATAAAGTCATTCCCATCATCGCCGAAATTCCATGTAATCAAGCGAAAACTGCGATCACTGTTGTCGTCCACATCTTTTGATTGCTTGCTAATTTGTGGTAATGCGAGCTCAAGCTGAGTGCGCTGAACAATGCCAAGGTGCAACCCATGGACATAGACTGTCCTACAGTTCGGATCAAACGTCGGAGGATATTTTTGGATCCTGTCGGAGTGCCACTCAAATTCTGAAAGGTCATAATGAAGACTATATATGGTTCTCATTCGTCTGCCTCGTCTCCAATCTGGGGTCCACGATGGCAGCAAAGCATCTTGCGTATCAGAGTGCTGAGACTCGCAGATGATATCTAGGCTTCTCGTAAAATCGACATAAGCTTGAGCAATCTGCTGATAGGCCTGGTGTATTGACTGGCCATAATCAGGTTTTGGCATTGCGGAGTAAACTTCAGATGGCAGAATGCCAAGTATGGAGTAAATTTTGTCGTGTGGAAATTTACAAAGACGCTTTTGACTTGCCTCAAGAAAGAATAAGATTGCTCTGCTAGGCGGCATCCGATTTGTATCCATAAACCGTTTGAAGTGGTAAGCTGCGTGCATGCTGAAGGCGTGGAATTGGGCTTGGTCTGAGAACTTGTACGGTCTCAACAAATGTCCTTCGAATGTGGAGTTGATAAGTTGCTCAACTTCGTTAGAAGTTTCACGGACTACCTGAACAACAATTTTTAGGACAGGCCAGGACGTTGAATGTGGTCCGCATACAAAAGTTGCCTTCTTCGACATTAATAATTCCTGAAGAGTCCAAGCTCTCCGCCACCATGGACCTCTCATCAGTTCGTGAATTGCTAACCAGGAGCGGACATGCTTCCGAACCACGAGAGGACCTGTTTCTACGAAGTCAGGGATAAATCCAAGGTCGTCTTCACCAATCTCTTGACCCTGTCTGACATAGTCGTAAATCTGCACCATGAAGTTGAAGGCTAGATCACTATCTTCCTCAGGTACACCGAGAAACACAACCACACTACTTGCGTGTTTATATATGAGATGCATTTTCTCCACTTGGGCATTCCTCTCGGCGATGTTCGATTGATCGATGCACAAAGCATCTATCCATATTGTTCTGGGAGAATCCTCCTGCAGGAAGTAGAGAGCGTCCCAAAGATTTCTATACACTTCGTGCAGTCTACCGTCGAGCGTAATTTCTTGTGGATCGTGGTCGTCGCCCCAGGTGTAGGACAGAGCTTCATATGCAATGGCAGGAGTGGCATTGCCGCCGTTCTCCTCGGACTCGTCTTCGTTGGTGGCCAGGTCAGGGAACTCGACTACTGCAATGTCTGAAAGTACATGTAAGTTACTCATGATTCTTTGCTATCCGGCTTGTAAACCGGATTTGGATGGAGGATCTTACGCCGCGAGCCTTCAAGCAAGTTTTTCTCGGCCTCAGATCCTGGTACTTCATCGACAACAAAACCATCAATTTGAGGAACGGGATCACCAATGATCCCAGTCTCTGGATCCCACAGGTGTGTCGTCAGTTCGCAAACTATGTCACGGCTCCCAGAGTGAGACAGCAATGTGAGCAATCGAAGGCTGTGAGTTCCGGAGGGAAGTGACGCATATCTGTACCGGGTTTCAGAGAGATCTTCGACTGCAGCCATCGCGAATGAGAATTTTGTCAAACAACGCGACCTCCGATGACTGGACAAGAGACGGCTGTGGGAAACATTGTGTTGTTGAGATGTAAGGAATAGGGCCTGGGGAGGGGGCGTTGAGTTGAGTTTACACAATGTTTTGTTACTGTACATTGCTAAATCCCGATTTTTCGTTTCGTCGTCGGATAACGCAGTCATCACGTGGTGACACTTCCCTTTGGGGAAACCTCGGCAATTCAGTGCAACTCGGCGTCCGACGGCGGGGTTAGTTTTCCCTTCCACTTCGTTTCAGTCATCTTGCGACTTCCCTTTGGGGTATATACCATTGGGGGTTATCAAGATTTTAATCCAGCAAAAAGTTATATTTGTGGCGTTTGGCTCATAAAATCGTGGACTTTTCCCCCCCACAAATTTCAGTCACAGTCCTCTTTAACAAAATTGCGTCTTACATTGCCTCCAGTCAATTTCCTCCTGCCATGTGCGGAGTTGCGCATGGAATGTTAGACCACTCTTTCGGGGGTAGTTTAGGCCTTGCTCAATAGCGTGGGCTATCACCTCTTGCAGGACGGAGTTCCTGTATGCAAGCAACGCTTTCACGAGCGACGACTCTGCTTCCCTGAGAGTAGGTATCTTGTTACTCATCTCGAGCCCCTTAAAAGCATTCTCTATTTCATCTACGAGGGAGTGCGCGGTATTCACCACAGCGTCCACTGCGCTGATCCGAGAAGGCATCGCTGGTACAATGTACGATAGGACCAGTGAAAATGGGATAACCAAATTTCTTGAACGTGATGTTGCGGAAGATATTGCTGTAGATGTCGCAGGCAACTTGGAGGTGATTGCAACCTTTGCGTCGCCAGTCTCCGCCTACCTCTTTTAGCCTAAACCTGGGTAAGGCCTGATCATTGGTTTTCTGCCGGTACGGAGGCCATTAGTACGGAAAGCCGTAAGGATCAAAAGACCAAGCAAACTTATAACTTATCACTCGGTACGGACATGATCACCCTACCAAAAATCGCAAACGCTCACACAACACGCTCACATACTATGCCCCCTCTCGTGCCTCTATTATTACTTAAAATATTACTATCTCTTTAATTCTTATTTATATATCTAGGGGAGAGGGGTGAGGGAGGGGGGCTAGTAGGCGTGGGGAGGGTGAGCGAGCAAATTAAAAGTTAAAAGTGAAAAGTGAAAAGTGAGCTTCGAGGCATGCGAGTCACGAGGAAAAGGAAGCCCTATAATTATAAGCTGCTTAGGCTTCTTATCGCTGAATTTTAGGGCTATATTCGCTAAATTATAAGCTATAGGTACTAAAATTTAGTGCTTAACTTTTTAATAAGGTGCGGCACAGATTTTTAGTAAGGTCCTCGCCTTGCCCTTACCCCCCTTCCCCCTTATACCCCCCCTCTTACCTATATTTATAGAGAGAGAGAGAAGAATTAAAGAGAGTAAATATTTTACGTAGTAATAGAGGTACAAGGAGAGGGGGCGTAACATGCGGGCGTAGTATATGAGCGTTTGCGATTTTTGTTGGGGTGAACACGCCCGTCCCGAGTGATAAGTCATAAGTCGTAAGTCGTAAGTTCGCTTGGTCTTTTGATCCTTGGAAGGGGTCATCGTCACCCACCAACCGCCCAAACCCCCTTCCCGCCCCCACCAATTTTTTTTTTCGATTTTCAAAGTCTTTGGAAATTTCTAAAAACTTTCCAGATTATAGAGAATACTCGAAATATTGTGGATATCGTGTTAATTCTTCGAATTTGTAGCGTTAAGGTCTCCAAGATCCAAGTTGAGCTGGAAGGGGGTGTGGGCGATTGGTGAGTGACATCTTCTACGGCTTTCCGTACTTACGGCTTTCCCTATGCCCCAGTCGTAACTTGATCCACCCCTACTTCGTAAACCCCCGTCTTCCCGACCACCCAGCGTCGATGCAGACGTGCCCATACCAGCAAGAATATGAGCTCAATACTCTGCGAAGCTTACTCGTTCTCTCTGGATATCCGGCTCCCACGACTAGGAAACTGTCCAGAATCGATTTGATCGCCCTCAATTCGCCCGCCGAAGCTCCACCGCCTCGCAATTCTCACGAACCCTCACCTCGGATCTGGCACCAGCGGTGGGGAGAATGCATGGCATACTGGGCTTGCCATTATGAGATTTGATACAGGAAAGCGCCAGCTGGGCTGGAGTGCAGCCTTTCTTTGCTGCGAGGTTCTTCAACTCCTCGACAAGTTGCAGATTCTTCTGGAAATACTCGGCTTCGAAGCGGGGGAAATGCTTGTGGTGGTTACTTGCTAGCATGTCTTCAAGCTTTTGAAAGTTGCCAGTCAGCGTTCCCCAACCCAAAAGCGTGTGAGCAAGAATCACGATGCTGAGCCCAACGCAAGTCTCAGCGATGCCGTTCGAAAAGAAATCCGTTGCCCGTAACGAGACGTCAGCCTCCACCATATCTACCATGTGGACATTGGACGACCGCCGAAATGTGTCAGCACTAACTTCGGACAATTGAATAGCGTCAGTTTTGCCCTTGAGGAGTTGCGCAAGTACTTCGCTAGTGGTCTCGATAGGAACTTTGGGGTCCACTTCAGCAGGCCCGAAGGCGTCAATGCACTTTTCCCCGCCCAGGATCTTGTTCGCATTATCAACAGAATTTCTCAACCCTTCCGCTTGACAGGCTATGTGAAAGGTCGAACGGTTGGTGATCGAAACACCGCTCTTGGTGCAGAAGACGACTTTGTCAGTATCTTCAGCGTACTTTGTGAAGTATCGCTTGAGTAGATGAAGAGAATTTGCGTCCGTTAAAGTTTGCCCCTTTCCGGACATTCACACCACCCTCGGGGGCAATCTTCACGATCTTGAAGGAAACATCACTTTGTGTTGGCTCCACCCGATTTGTGAATCCTGTACTTGTCAACATCCTTGGAATTAAATGAGAGCAGTAGGATTAAATACACGTCCGCCAATCCCAGCCCATTTTGTGTCATTGGTTTCCAGCGAGCGTAGCCATTGTCGTTGTTTTTGGAATTTCCCAAAGTTTGGAGGAATTCTATGTCTACGCGAGCTTAGAAATCAAAGGAGTCTTGATCCGTGGGCCGTGAAAAGGAGCCGGAAGCGTGAAATCACCAGGTTTTATAGGAAGCCCTTCGTCCCGAATATTCAGTGCGACTAGATAGTTTGCCTTTCAAGAAGGGTTTTAGAGTCTTGAACTCCTGTTGTTAGTGGCCCAATAAGGTGCATTCTGAATCAAGTGTGGTTCGACGGGGCCAATAGCAGAAGAGTACGGACTTTGCACATTGTCCCCCAGGACTACCCAAACCTTCTGCCCCCAAGTTGCCCCTGTGTTGTCTTGAGCTCCGCTCTCATATGCCATGGGCCATATTTTGCCTAATTATGTGGAGCTCGACCTTTCCGCACAATGTACAGAAGCTTCTGAGAACATCGCTGGTCCCACGTGCAGTCCTATCGAATATCCTTCGCCAGTCCTCAAACTTCTTCTCACGTTGTAACGGTTCGATTCTGAAGCTCCTTGACATTATCCAGATGCATGCGATGGCTCGAGGTACTCGCAGAACCGGGAGGCTCTTCAAATTTGAGAGGACAAGTCGGCGGCTCGGACTGCAGTTGTTGCGCCTGGTATGGGCTGAAGAGGTGCTTGGGCGTGATGCGGCAAGAGAAAGTTCCTGTCGGGGTACGGTGATTGTTCTCTTCAATCTCTCGATTCCTTGGGGCTCTGCCAGCCTTCAGTCCTGGGCCCTGTGATGGTCTGACTCTTGCGCCATCGGCAAGTGGTGTGATTTAGAGATCTTCAATGGCATTACCGTGCGTTGTCCCGTTGCCATTCTTCGACCGGTTGCTTCGCGGAGCACGAGAGCGTTGACAGTGGAAGGGCGAGCTGAGCGACATGCAATTAAGCCTTACACCTGTATGAGTCAGATTCATTTTCGTTCGAAGTCTCGGGGAAAACAGGGACCTTACCTACGGGACCATTTTACTCTGTTGGGTTGCACAAATGCATTCCGATCAGATGGTTGGCTTTGTTGTCTGCTTAACTTCAGTTGAATATGGTGACGGATAGGGAAATGTTGGTCTTTGGGGCGGGAGAGCGACTGCATCGAGGGTGATTTCGAGGATGAGGTTCGTTCTCCTTTCCTCCAGGACTGCTCAGGTTCGAAGAGGCACCGCAGACGGCATTCAAGGTTCCTCTTTTGTTGTGGGGTTCGAGAAAACTTCAAAGGAGGAAGGCGCCTTGCACCAAATGCCACAACAAGCGACGTGCCTTCCGAATTGATCCCTCTCTGCCCGATTTCTCGGCCTTGCATCTGGGAGACCACCGCTCTCAGTTTTTTTGTTCTTGCCGCCGTTCTTGGTGAACTTTTGCCACCCAAACTCCAATCCCAAGTGGCTTAAGCTCCTCCATTCCTCCAATGCGGCTCTTCTTGGAACTCTACAATCGTCACTCTCTTCGCATGCGAAGAACCTCTTACTGAGACACCTGCAGCCACTCTTTAGACCAACCTGCCACGCACGGCGCGGTCTGGTCGAAGCCCCGCGCTGCCTTATTAGAGACTGCGGGATGGCAGGACACAATGTGACCCCCGAGTCTTCGCATCTCAATGCAAGACAAATCCATGCTGCAGCAATTATCCAGAACATCGCCAGGTTACTCGCCACTCTCCAGTACCAGCCAGAGGCGGTTTGAAGCTCATCATGGTTCTAGATACTACATGCCAGATTCTCAATCAACATCGACTGCTCAGCACAAACAATGCGCCTCCAGTAGCCCCACACCCACTGCAACGTCGAGTGGCACATGCCCACCCACCGCCGTACCAGCGTCCCTGGAGCTACCGCCAAGTACATCGCCTCTCAGACACGACCCTACCCTCACTGCTTTCGCGCAGCTCGCCGCCTTTCGACTTGACTGCGAGCGTGGGTTCATATCTCTGATTGATCATGAGCAGCAGTACGTTCTAGCCGAAGCAACACGCAGCATCTCGCTTCTGAATCCCGAGCAATGCCTTCCAGGTGATGACTTGTATCTGGGTGCTCAGAAACTGCCTGTGGCATGGGGTTTGTGTCCAGATACGATTCATACCTTCACTGCGGAGGACGACAAGTAAGTACAATCGGAGTCTCGGAGATTATTTGTTCCCCGACTTCGTTTCTATTGTTAGATTTGCACCCGAGACATTCAGTTTTTATTATTCAATCTTCCCCGGGACATTCTAAGCTATGATTAGGCTGACTCCATGGCGTGTAGGCTCAACGTCTCGACCCAGCAGATCACAGCAAACCAGTACTGCTACGTCATCAACGATCTCGCGGAGGTCGATTGTTTCAAAGATAGACCCTATGTTTCTGGCTGGCCATTTGCTCGTTTCTATGCCGAGGTTCCCCTCAAGTCTGGCGGCTTTGTAATTGGTAGCGTCTGCGTAGGAGACAACAAACCGAGATCTGGTATGGATGTGGTAGCACTGAATAAACTCACGGAAGTGGCAACTGCTGTCGCTATCCACCTTGACCTTGTGCAAGCACAAAATCGACTTCAGCGATCTCAGGAAATGGTGCGGGGGCTGGGTCAATTTGTGGATGGGAAGGTAGGTCCTGGGGAACAACCCTCCCCTCTTCCAAGCAGTCCCTGGACCTTTCCTGGATACAATGTCTTAATACTCCTCTAAAAACATTTCTCAATCAAATGCTGACTTTCTTTTGACCCAGTCTGTCCGGGAATGGTGGAAGGATACTTTCAATGACCAGTTTAAAGGCTTGACTGACACGAAGGGGGATGCATCAGACCAGGGTCCTGGATTTGCGCAAACATTGTTAACTGGTTCGGAAAACCGGCACACGCTCTCTCCAAGGGCAGAGTCCCCCGCCGGTTCATCATCGCGCAATGGTCCTGATCCTGATGAAGTGGAACAAGATGCAATGGACCGATTTGATTCTCTTGCCGCAACGGCAACGCACTCATCTAGGAGCCACACCAATGATGCTGCGTTACCAGTTCGAACAGTTCAGCTGCAGGACATTCCTTCTCAATTAGAAGTTCCCGGACAACCATCTACTCCAAGTGTACAGCGCGATTCTGTACAATTATCCGACGGATCACCTTCATCCAAAGAACAAATGGCCTACGAAGCTATTCAACGCCTTTTCTGCCGAGCAAGCCATTTGGTAAGGGAGTCGAGCGAACTTCATGGTATAATTTTTGTGGATGCGTCACTACAGGACATTGCGATCACGGAAAATCGGAGGAAGTCGGTGGTGACTCCTGCCAATACACCTAGATTCGGTGATTTGAGACACTCTGCAACGACCCACAATCGAGGGCTGTCCATTGGTACCAATCACAACTCATGGGTAACTACAGAATCTGCTGACCTTCCAGCGTTCATTCGGCAAGGCTTCAAGGCTCATGTTGAGGCTCCAGCCACAGGAGGCAAAGACAAAGCATCAATCTGCAACTTGTTAGGCTACTCATTAAACAATAACTCGGGACGTGGAGATACAGCACCATCCAGCAGACATTTAGAAGTTCCACAATCCACTTTACGCGACCTTCTCCGCAGATATCCCAACGGGCATATCTTCCAGTTCAACTCCGATGGATCACTGTTGGACCACGAGGTCATGGACTCGATCGGTCATGGCTCGTCAACAAGTCGCTCTCGAACACACTCAAATGGCAAATCAATCTTTGAAAAGGAAAAGGAGCAGCTGCGGGCCTATCAACTGCTTCATATTTGCCCAGGTGCACGAGGTATCATATTCTTTCCATTGTGGGATCCGCAGAGAGATCAAGTCAGTGCGGTTCCTGGCATCCGTGAATCCTTTCCCCCTTCTTCTGATATCTTGTATCAGTGGAACTTTGAATGCTGACTTGGGTTTCTTAGTGGTTTGCTGGCAGTCTTGCGTGGACTACGGACCCTGTGAGAATGTTGCAGTCAGAGGACGTCACTTTCCTTGCTGCCTTCGGCAGCTGCATCATGGCTGAGAAGTCGAAGATGGAAACTCTTGTAGCCGATCGTGCCAAATCCGATTTCATATCCTCCGTCAGCCATGAGCTCCGGTCACCTCTCCATGGCATTCTTGCTACTGTTGAAGCTCTTGCTGATACTGCAATGACCATGGAGCAAAACGATCTGATTCGTACTGTTTCCACTTGTGGGGAGGTGCTTATGGATACAATGGATCACATTCTCGATTACGCAAAGCTCAGTAATTCCAAGAAACTCCGAAGGCTGACCACAGGCGAGGCCGAGGGGTTTGAACAACGTTCCTTGCAAAGCATTAAGATCACAAGCTTTGACCTGAGCAACCTTGTCGAGAGTGTTGTGGAAGGGATCTTTGCTGGCCATAACTATCGCAGCCTTGTCAACGCAGACAAAGTTTCTTCCGAGCAGGCGCGAAAAGCACATGAACAGAACGCCGTTCGATTGACACCGCCCAGCATGAATCCTAACGTGATGGTTATAGTCGACATCGAACGGCAGCTAACCTGGCTCTTCGATTCGCAAGTCGGTGCTTGGAAGCGGATCTTGACGAACTTATTCGGAAACGCGCTAAAATATACCGAAGCAGGTTTTGTTCGAGTTTCTCTCTCTGCAAACCCAATCCCATTGAGACCGAACTCTTTCGTCGTTACACTTGAGATCCAGGATTCTGGAATTGGATTGTCAAAGGATTATGTCCAACATAAGCTCTATACTCCTTTCGCTCAGGAAAATCCAATGTCTGCTGGTACCGGACTTGGTCTCAGCATCGTTCGGCAGCTAGTCAATGACCTGGAGGGAAGTATCGACATTGAAAGTGAAGTGGGATACGGCACCTGGGTCAAGGTGTCTGTGGCTTCGAGCATCTCATCGTCCGATCAACCGGACGAACAGTCTATTGGAAGTTCCGCAAAGATTCGAGACATCAGAGTGTGGTGTGAAGGCCTTAAGATCTGTCTCGTTGGCTTTGACTACTATCCAGAGATTGAAGAAGCCCCTACTGGTATCCTTAGCGCAATCGCAAGACGCATGCTTGCAATCCGCTCCTCCATGACAACGTTGCTCGCCGAGTGGTTCGGCATGGAAGTTGTAACGGCCCCTTCACTTGACAAAGCAAAGGGTGATATCTTGATCGGGATGCAATCTCAGATCAACGTGGTCCCGCAGCAAACCCGAGCCGAACCGTTGATTGTCTTTGAGGACTGTTATTCAGGATTTCGCGGTGGAAATGATGGTGGTGTCTTTCATCTTTCGCAACCGTAAGTGACCAGCCAAGCACGAATCAAAGATTTATATATTCCAACGCGATGGGGCGTGGAATTTACACTTGAGTATGCTGACTTACATTCAGGGTTGGACCTCACAAGCTTGCCAGAATTCTGGGCCTTTGTCTTGAATACAGATACGCCGCCGGGATAACTCCCGATAGTTCTTGCAACACTCCCGGGCGAGCGGATTCATTCGGATTCTCTCGATCTACAGAAGCATCTCAGAACATTCAATATGACATTTCACCAAAAGCCGAAAGTGTCACCGATGCTGTTGGCGAAAGCCATTTGAATGTACCGAAAGAGACTCGTCCATCAAGCCCAACGCCACTGCTTGTCAAACCGAGATCCATTGTGCTCTTAGTTGAGGATAACTCTGTCAATATGAAGGTATGTGCCCATCCTAGGGCGGGAAATTTTGCAGCTGATAACATGGACTCAGATCCTTATGAACCATATGAAGCGGGCCAAAGAAGAATACACCACGGCGATCAACGGCCTCGAGGCTTTGCATAAATATCAAGCCGAACATCAAAGTATCAAGGTCATATTCATGGGTATGAAGCCAATTTCTTCTGTCAATGTCCCAAATCTCAGCTCACTGAAGTTCGACCTTTGGAAACGAGCGTTCTCACGGACGTCAAGATTGGTCGAGAGCTCTTTGGAACAATGGAATTTCGATTGGTCCGATCAAATTGGAACGTTGAACATCTTCCAAACGTTATAGCGGGACTGGGGACATTTAGCTAACGTATGTGATAGATGTGGCTATGCCAGTAAAAGACGGGATCACTGCAACGAAGGAAATCCGACAATTCGAGCGTGAAACTTCCTTACCAAGGGTTCGAATAGCTGTCTTGACTTGTTTCTCCTCGGAAGAATACCAGAAAAATGCTTTCACGGCTGGGGCTGACTTGTTCCTGATCAAACCGGTACGTATGAAGGGTCTAAAACCTATTTTAGAGATGGATCCGGAGGTTGTAGTTCCGCCTTAAAGACCTTGCTCAGATTGCTCTAAGAAAGGAGGAATATTTGGGGATTGACTGTTTTGTGCTCTGCATTGCTTCTAAAACTGTATAAATAGCTCAAGAAAAGATGTTGCATCTTGCGACTCATTCAATCAATCACGTCGTCCCGAGTGATTCAAACGTAAAAGGCAATTTTGAACAACAACGAATCAAATGCATGCAAATGGACTGCTCAAATGTACCAACGAACTTAGAGGCATTGTTTTCAAACATAATTCGAGGAATTGTCAAGGGAAGAGAGGACGTCGCTGTTCTCAGAAATAGGGTTGCCTAAGATCACGAGATTCGCATCGTCCCCGCCGCGCAGCCCCAACGCGTCATGGTCATCCAGTCCTCAGCCACAGTTCGACCACCCTCACACCTGAGCAACCTCCAAGACACAAAATGATCTGAGGCCCTTCGACGAGAGCTCTTCCCCTAGAGCGCAGACACTACACAATCTCCAAACTCAGAGAGAAGCCTTCGAACAATTACGATGACATCGTCCAGGCGCCCCGCCAGGGCCGTATCGCCTTCGAAAAGCTTCTATGCGTTGAGCGACGACGAAGAGGGAGAATACAATACAATTACGCATACGACTACTGGCAGAGGAGTTAAGCTGCTATATTCCAAGAGCAAGGCAAGTTGAACTCTTACCACGCATTGCGGAGGAAGAGGGTGGTGCGGGGTAGTCTACAGAAGCATGAGCTGACCATATTCCCAGGTCTACATCCACCCAACTCCCTCTGCGAAAGACAATATACCAGGCTACATCGCCCTCCTGCAACAGAAACCTCCTCCTGATTCCCGCCCTACATCCTCCTCCTCTACATCCGCGCGCTCGAAGACCGCCGCCTCCCTCCTCCTCGCCTGGCTTCCGGAACACTCTCTCGGAGATGCCCTCGATACATATGTCAAAGTCGACCTCTCGGAAGGCGACTCACCTCCAAAGCAATCATACCTCGTTCCTCCCCCTCCCACCACGACTACACATTCTAGCTCCATTGGGCACTACGCCTTCGCGATCCCGGTGTCTGCCATCTACAGCTTGCTTGTGAGGCCGCCCAGTCTGGGCTGGTGGTTTGGCAGCGTGATCATCAATTCCCGCGCCGGAGACTCCTTCCCCGCCCTCTTCTTCCACGACTCAGAATGCCAGTCCACAATCCTACAAAAGAAGCGCCATGCCCGCGAGAACTTCGACCCGTTCGGCGCGAACGGCGAGATGTTTTGGGGCGGGGATGAAGTGTTAAGATGGTTGAGACGATACGTGGTTATTGAGAGGAGTGGTGCGGAGCCGAATATATATCTGGTCGAGCCGAGTACGGAGGATAAGGAGGCATTTGGCGGGAAGCCCGTTACGGCTGCGGTGGTGAGGAGGCCGAGTAGTAGTGGGATGACGATCGGTGGTGCTGCTGGTGCTGCTGGTGCTGCATCTGGTTCAGGCTCAAGGATGCCGCGAGATGCGGGCATGGACCCTGTGACGAAGTTCGTCAAAGAGGCAGGGTGGAATTTGATGGAGAAGTTTAGCAAGGTTACGACGTTTACACGCAGGACCGCGGACTCGGTCATTGATAATCCGAAGATTCCGCCGCAGGTGAGGAGGTTGCTCAGGAATCCGGAGGTCCAGACGCTGCAGGAAGAGTTTGATAGCGCGAGGATTTATCTGGCGAGGTGGGCGATGGGGATTGCGGAGCAGAGTGAACGGGACCGCAATCAGAGGATTTGGACGGCGAGGGATGTGCTGGAGATGGAGGAGACGGATGTGGGGGAGTTTGAGCTGCTGGATACGGAGATGGGGAGTTTGAGTTTGAAGGAGTTGAGAAAGACCGTTACGCTAATGGAGTGGAATGGCTTTTTTGATCAGAGGACGGGCCGGCTACAAGTTACTGTCGACGAGGTCAAGGAAAGGATCTTCCATGGTGGACTTGATGCTGAAGATGGAGTGAGGAAAGAGGCTTGGCTATTCCTCCTCGGTGTCTATGACTGGGAGTCGTCAACCGATGAACGGAAAGCTGAGGTCGCCAGACTTCGAGACGAGTACGTGAAGTTAAAGGGAGCATGGTGGGACCGCCTCGTTGATCTCGGCGGCGAAGGAGAGGAAGGCGAATGGTGGCGCGAGCAAAAAGGCCGAATAGGTTTGTGACACTGAATTCCCGTGACCTCAAGACTGCAGTATAGACTAACGTATCCCATTCCTTGGGGTCCTCGCTATAGAGAAAGACGTCCACAGAACAGACCGTACAATTCCTCTCTTCGCAGGCGAAGACACACCTCACCCGGACCCCTCATCTCCTTTCGCAGATGTAGGCACGAATGTCCATCTCGAGCAGATGAAAGACATGCTGCTCACCTACAACGAATATAACCGCGACCTCGGCTACGTACAAGGGATGTCTGACCTCCTGGCTCCTATCTACGCTGTCATGCAAGACGACGCCGTTGCCTTCTGGGGCTTCCAGCACTTCATGGATCGTATGGAACGCAATTTCCTGCGTGATCAGAGTGGCATGAGGAAACAACTCCTCACGTTAGATCATTTAGTTCAACTCATGGACCCGAAACTATACATGCATCTCCAGTCCGCGGATTCCACGAACTTCTTTTTCTTTTTTAGGATGTTGCTCGTCTGGTATAAACGCGAGTTCCAATGGTTGGACGTATTGCATTTATGGGAGGTGTTGTGGACGGACTACCTAACTTCTGGTTTCCACCTCTTTGTTGCACTCGCTATCCTGGATAAACATAGGGATGTGATTATGGAGCATTTGAAGCATTTTGATGAGGTGTTGAAATATGGTATTTCCCCCTCTCCCTTAACCATTCTTCCTCCCACATAAACTAATGATGAAGTATAGTCAACGAATTATCAACGACAATCGATCTAGAATCCACGCTCATCCGAGCAGAAGCTCTGTTCCGCCGCTTCCAGAGAACCGTCGAGGCTATCGATAAAAAGTCCAACTTTCCTGCTCCGAAGCTGCGTCAAAGACCGAACAGGATTTCTTCCTCAGAGAGCGCAGCTAGCGCTGGATCTACTGCAGGTGCGAGCGCGAATACCAGCGCCATCGATGCCGTAACGGCAGGCAGCACGAACAGCGGCGGCGGCAGACCTGGTAGCGCAGGCAAAGATAAAGGGAGGAGAGTTAGTGGGGAGCTGGAGGATGTCAGACCTAAAGTTATTTCTTCGGAGCTGAGAGGGTTGTTGAGTAGGAAAGTCGAGGTGTTACCGCGCAAGGTGGTGAGGAAGACCGGCGAGGGCTTGAGTAGTTTGGGGGAGGGGAAAGGGAAGGATAAGAAATAGGGTTGGAGGAGGAGGGAATAATGTGGCGTGAGCGGCGTTTAGTTCATTGGTCTGAGGGCACAGAAGGGGAAGATATTGATATATAGATAATGAATCTTCACTTTGGTTTTGAGAAAGCAGACACAGTTCTGTCATCGGCCTCGAGGCTTTGCATAAATACAACCTTGGGCTTCGGAATATCAGCCAAAAGCCATACTTGTGTTGAGACGTTCCTGAAGTGAGTAGTGGAGCTTCCCCAGAGGTGAGGTACTTCGAGGGAGGAGGGGCGAGCATGATACCGAGATTTGAGCATTACACATCATTGAGATCGAATCCTGCAAAGAAAATAGTCAGCTCTGATGTCCCGTGGAGTCCAGGAATTTACACACCCTCTCTATCAGCTGAAGTCGAGTCTCACAGCCTGGATCCATCATCTCTGCTGCGCTTGTGAACCCTCTCTATGGTCCCAACCCTCATCTCCCTCTTCCATGCACCCTCCTCCTTTCCTCAACTCCCCTGTCCAATCCATCGGAACCGGTACATCACCCGCAATCCAATTTTCCTCCGTCTCACTAACTCTTGGATCAAATCAGCCCCAGAACCTGCATCACACCTGTCACCCTCCTATCCACAAACTGTCTAAACGGACTCTGAGGCGGCGGCGGCGGGAGCACTTTTCGTCCTTCGATTTTTGGACTCGGCGTTGTGTCCGTCGGAGACTTTTCCGACGGCGAGGGTGTTGAGGGCTGCGTTGGCAGCGTTGAAGTTGTGGTTGGCATCTTCGAAACGAACTTGAAGGTTGTGAGGAGTTGTGGGGGACGCGTTAGCATTGAAATATACAATCAAATATTTAATTGTTTTTGGAAATTTCCAATTATAGGGAAAAGATGGATGGGAAGGAATGAGGGAAAGGTTGACTTAAAGTAAAGATTGGATTGGGGGCGGGGTGAGATAAAGGAAGCGGGACTTGCTGATTGGTGTCATATACGAAATACGGAGTAAGCACTTGCCTTTGAATTGCTGACGATTGCTTCGCTCGGTTGTGAGTCAGCTTACTCCATACTTGTTATTATTGGGGGTGGGAAATAGGCGAGGTTGGGATAGGGGTAGCCAAGACGGCGATGCTGACGATTAGGGGTTAGAGATGAATTTGATTGGATGGAAAGTTGGAATTCCAGAGTGGGGAAGTCCGTATTGGGTAATCAGCAGGACAAATCTTTTGAACAGTCTCAATTATCCTTACGGTCCGTGGAAAGACTCAGGGAGTGAGGAGTTTCCAATGCACTAACGATCCCTCCCCTGGAGATTCGGAAAATTAAGTCCCGATAAGCCGGATTCAAGAGGAGTGTGCCCCTGCCAAATTCCCTGTTCAGCTCGCGTAAGCCCGCGTAGCATTCCCAACCCAGGTTTGTCCGCCGAAAGTAGTAATTTTGTGCATACTTGAGATCAACTCTGTTTTATATATATGCTAGCACAGCAGACACAGCAACAAAGATCCTGATATTCAATCGACCAGATATTGCCGTCCTGCAAGATTCTATGCTTGAAAACGATAATATTTGCATCTCTAGAACATTATCAAAAAGCAATATCCGGCTCTACTTTACGACACGTCTGGAACCTTCCTTCAGACAAAGGCAAAATACCATCAAGCAGTGACCGAGCCGCTATAATCGAGCATCTCATTCGTGTCTGCAACGGCATGTTCATGTGGGCACAGCTCACTATCAAGTATCTTTCAAGTCCGGCTCTGATACCCGCAGAACTACTCGATACCATTTGGAAGATTCAGCTGCCAGAAGATCTCGACGTCATGTATGAGCGGATATTTTATCTCCTGTAAAGAGCATACAAACCAGAAAAGAACCTCGCTAGACGAATCTTCCTGTGGCTTATTTATGTGAGAGAAACGCTTACAATCGACTAACTACATAACGTATTTTCAACTGCTACTGACGTCTTTGCCGAGCCTGGAGCATTGACAAAGTACGAAAGTGGAATCATTTAGTCCTGTGGTAGTTTAGTCGAGGTCTTGTTAAAGTATTACCGTTTCATATATCTATCTGTTAAGGAGTTTCTGTAGTCGAACCACCCTTGTATAGTGGATTTCACGCAGAAAGTTACACAGTCTATGCTAGAGATAGCTATAGCTTGATTAAAATACCTGACTATTAAGACTCCTCAAGGACCGCTTTCTGGAACTCTTGGAATAGCAAGTTCGGCAAAGAAAGAGATAAGAAATTTCCCTTTCTCCTCTATACCTCGAGTTATTGGCTAGAGCACGTATACTATGCAATATTATATAATATTGAGTCTCAGTATAATTGTATCCCAGAGTTAGACCCCTTATATAGCCTACTATCTACCATGGACAGCTTTCTCGACTCCAAATTAAAGATAATGGCATGGATCGAAGGCATCTATGTTCTCAAATCGTCTAAAAAACGCATCAAAAACTTACGCTTTTGGTCCAGATACGGTAGCAAAGAGATTTCCAGGTATAAGAAATCAGACCTTGTTCGTCTTTCCAAGAAAGCAATATCTCGAAGCTCTAGACACTACATGGCATAATGTCCTCACGAAGATACCGACTGAGATCTGGGATAATATAACGGCATTTACGAAGTGTAGTTTCTGGCAAGCTATAAAGGCTACTGAGATCTATAACTCGGCAGCGGTCGGCCCTCTTAAGCACTTTGTCGACAGCAGCCCTCCTTTTACTGTAACCCAGTTGTTATCAAGTAGGGTTGAGCTCGGGTATTAATTATATGACCTTTAAAGTAAGTCGTCGACCCTTGCCAAAGACCCAGAATTAACTTTAAGTTTATAGGGCAATAGATAAGAGATATATAATAATGAATGATTTTTACAGGGAAAGGGGAAAAAATGGATATACCTGGACCCGAATATTCCATGCCAAAGCACATTATTAAGCGCGCTTATTCCGGATAGGTGGCGATATATGAAATTTGGAATCTTCGCAATATCCGTTATCCTACAGGTCACTTTAATATACTCCTCGATAAACCCAAGGTATTAATCCAAGTCCAACGTATATTCAAGAATCCTTACGAGATAGGCCCATTAAGGCTCCCAATAACGATCCACTATAGCCAGAAAATATTCCCAGGCAACACCACCACGCAGTTAGAAAATACTTTTATGCAGACAATGACTGGGCCCCTTACTATAAGATCAGATTTCAGCTGCGGAGGTCGATATATATACTTTCGTAACTATGCGGCACTAGATATGCTCTAGGTCTTGCGGAAGGAAGAACGGTGCTCTGTCTCTATCCTCTCCTACCTTCCTTATCCTGTCTTCCACAAAATCTATTACTTATACCGTAACCTGCCATTACTAGTATTCCTTAGCGAGTCCCCTATCCAATCGTAGGGTTTCACACATGGTAGGCAGCTTCCCAGCTCACGTGGCCAATCATTATTTTAATAAAAGCTTTACAGGTTTCAAAATAATATTAGTATATAGGGAAGAAGACATGGAATATTAAGTCAAGAGTCTGGCATTCTCCAGGTCGGGTAAAGAACTCGTTTTTACGGACGGGAATAATGAATTTCCTATCGTCTTAGCCATCTAAAACTACGAAACTTTCTTGTCTATAGGAAAGCGGTTTGCAGAGAAGATTTCTAGTAAAAAGAAGGCTTAGGTACCTGTACCAAAATCAGTATCAGTATCTAGCTCAAGAGCACTATCTCCCGATAATATACTGAGTCTGCGCGATATGGGCGTCTTGACTACGGCAGATGTATTATTATTATATTAACAGATATCCAGGTAATCAAGAACTCAAATGCTCTTACCGTAAAGGTTAACTCAGAAAGATTAGCCATCTCCGTCAAAATCCTCAGTCTCCCTCATTAGAACTATTTGTCAAGAAGCACAGAAGCCACAGTCATTAGCCCGCAGACGAGGCAGGAGAAGATCAATATTATTTTGAGCACGCTTGCCAAACCTTCGTATAGCCTTGCAGAGGATGTGTGCCAGGAAAGGTCGTACTTGCCGCTATATGCGTAGAAAGATCAGAGAGCTTTAAGGCCTTGCAATACTAAGATCTTGGAAAATCCGGAAGTTCGGGCAAGTTCAATAGTTTTCGCGGTTAGGTGATAGGGTGCAATGGGAGGCAGTTGGCGAAGTGCGTTTCCTGGTGTATCAGCATCAGTTGGAAGTGCTGACACAGTGAAAAGAGGCTGAAGTTAGTCGCAAAGCTTCTAAAGGAATGCAAAATGCCTCCTGAAACAAACGATGGAGTAGGAGTGGAAGTTAAGAGGCGGCGGATAGAAAGGTACTCAATAGCAACCTTCAGATTAGGTGGATGTATATGCATTTTCCCCGGCCTCATCTACGTTTTATATTCATCTCATGGATCATACGTTCAAGACATATGCAACGCAGCTTGCGCCGTAGCAATCCCAATCGTCACAAAGCTCAACATAAAACTCGCAATCGCTGCCGCGTTTTGGATATTATGGCCCAAAATCGACACCAAAACCATGACAACGAAACTGCTCAACCCGAACGTCAGAGCAGTCATATACATCAACCGCTTCTTGCTCCAGCCTTCGATGAACTGGAGACCCCACCCGATCGCATCGCCCTCTTCATCGATGACAGCGAGTCGACTTCGAAGTTTTCGTGGAATCTTTTTCAGGCAGTGTTTCCTTGTTCCTGCTAGTTCCGGGTGTTTGAAGAGATGCATAAGGAGATTGGAGCCAAGGGGTGGGATGACCTCGGGTGGATTTGGGGGTCCATGCCTGTATTCATTGTCTCTCGATGGTGGTGGGACTTCATCCAGCTTCTTGACATCTACCAGCTCATTCTCATATAGCTCAAACCTGATAAACTTGATGCTTTGCAGTGTCCAGAGCGATATCCAGGTCCACCAGCGCTTTCGAACTGTGATGTATTCTTCGTGCAGAAAGGAGAAGAACTTATGGTCGTTGTTGATCTCGCAGATGTCGGGTTGTCGGAGCTTGACCATCTCTGCCCCAATCCCTGAATTATGGCAGAGGAGCAGGTAGAACACTTCTCCTGATGTGTGAGCGGGAGTTCGGGTGGTCCGCGCATCGGAGTAGTATCGAAGCTCAGTGCTCACAAGTTCTCGCGGTTCTCTGCTCTTCAAAGTTTGGACACGCTGACTGATGGAAGTGATGAGGCCTTTCAAGCTGCTCCCTGCGTTTGAAATTCTCTGCGTTAAATTTCTGCCGCCTCCAGCACACTTTTCGTAAGAGGAACGTCTCAGATATTCTTCCATCCGTTTCGCTCCGCCAGGTTTGAGTTCTTGATAGTCATCATACAAAATTTCTCCGCACGGCTATGTAGAGTTAGCATCCCATTTATCCTCAACTTTTGCCAAACTTACACATTTCCACCTTACCCGCGACATACCGGCGGGTATCGTTGGCTCTGGTAGAAGCAAATCTCGAATCTTTTGGCTGAAGCTAGGTAGAAGCCACCCATTTAGTACATCTGAAGATGGAAATTGTTCGTAGAAGATGGGTTCATTCGAATTATCGACTTGGCCACCGTCCTCGTCCTCGTCCTCGTCATTCCCATGACCCTCTTCAATATCGAAACCAGCCCAACGTTTCCTGTCCGATACAGTCGGAACATCCAGCGGATCACGGATTTCGTCGTCTTGCTGTCGAGTCCGCTCATGAAGAGGCAGTTCAGCTTCGGGCCGTACTTTTCGCTTCTCTTCCTCATTGTCCAAGGGTGGTTGCGACTCTGCATCCTTTCCTTGAGCCTCAGTGAAGTTGCTGCCACTGTCGATATGATCATCTCCGTCAATAGGCAGCACATCTGGTCGTTGTTGTGACCCATTAGCCTTCCGTTCTAGCGGTGGCCTTGTATCCTGGTTCAATTCAACGACAACAGGCTGGTCTTTCGAATCGGGGGCTGCGGAGTTCAATGGGATGTCTGGCCCCGCCGGTGTCGACGGCCGACGCCTTCCTTCGGGAAGGGGTTTATGCAACTCCTTGGGGCAGTCTTCGCAGCGCCAGTGGGCACAGTTGGCCTGTGGGCAGGCGGGAACGATTTCGGTGGACATGGGGCCGTCACCACATATATGGCAGAACCAGAACCACTGGGATGTCTCTTGCGGCTTGCCTTCACGTTGACTGGTGCTGCTGCCATGACGGTCGGTGCTGTGATGTTTGCTGCGACCGCGCCGGCGGTGTTTGCTCTTGTTAGGTGACATAATGGAAGCTTATAATAGCCTGATCTAGATCAGAAAAAGTTGCAATGCCGTCTTTCTATGGAATCAAAACTGGACGAGAATAGCTCGAGGACAACTAGTTGGACGTATTATTTACTACTTGGGCACGATCTTGGGGCGATTGCGAGAAAAGAAAAGAGATGAAGTTGCGAAGGTTTAAAAGGCTGACCAAGGCCAGCCCACGCAGTTTGGGGGCTGTGTGAGAGGTGCATAACACGTGACTATTCGAGGCAGATTTGAACATCAGAATGCCCAGCCGCGTTGGAGGAAATCTGCCAATGCGATAACGAGGCAGAAACCTTGAAGGCCTGGAAAATCCGGTACATTTAAGTATATTATTAGGACTGTGATATGGTATCTCGAAGGTAGAGGGAGAGCTTGAGACCCGTACATATCGCTGGAGATAGTAAACCGACAAGAAAACGCATCTGAGGATAGGAAGAATGAAGAATGATTGGCCAAGCACCAAGGAGGCAAATGGGTAGAGTCTCTGATGAGTTTTGATGCAAAAGAGAGCATCATCGGAAGGTACATTCATTCCCTGGGACAATGCAAGACCGGGAACGTGTTCCGAGATTGCGAATGTCTAACAAACTTGTAGAACATTGCAATGATGGCACTCGCCGTTGCTAGGACGTCTTAAAGAAGAAAATTTAGAAGAGGGGATCAAGAGGGAAGAAGGGGGAGATCAGAGAGGTACCCTACGGTGAGCCGACAAAACCCGAACCGCTGCTTCACATCTTCACGTGCTCCAAACTTTGAAATTCCCACATCCTACTTCTACACCTCGAACTCCATGCCGAACAGCGCCAACCGCCTCGTGTAAATGATTCAGAATGCTCTCACGAAAGCTAAATATGGTGGTCGTCTCTCTTTCGCGCGCAGGCCTCCATTGGTTGCCCCTCTCATATCCAGAACCGCTTTGAACCCGATTCATTATGCGGCCTCCAAGCTCAATCCTCCCCCTAGGACACGTACATTTTCGCAAAGTAGCTTTCAGACGACTGGCCATACCTCTTTTGATCACGAGTATGATACTATCTACGCGCTGTCAACAGCACCTGGGCGAGCAGCAATTGCTATCATCCGGATTTCTGGAGCTGGCTGGTGGGATGTAAGCAGCACCTCTGTCCCAACTACACAATGCTAAAAGCATATTCAGATATACCAAGCATTATGCCCCAATCGGCCTCCTCCCACACCTCGAAAGGCGACTCTACGAGACCTCTTGGATCCGTCTGACACGAACAACATCCTCGACTCAGCTCTCGTCTTCCACTTCCCAGCCCCAAAAACTGTGACGGGAGAAGACATCTTGGAACTACATATACACGGCGGTCACGCAACTGTGAAGGCTGTTTTGGCAGCAATTGGCCAATGCCGATCAAAACACACCATCCGCTATGCAGACGCCGGCGAGTTTACACGGCGAGCATTCCAGAATGACAGATTGGACTTGGGACAAGTCGAAGCACTGGGCGATGCTCTCTCCGCAGAAACCGAACAACAACGACGCGCAGCCATGCGAGGGAATTCTGGAAAGCTGGGGAGAATATATGAGGAATGGAGACAGCTTCTCCTTGCGGCGCGTGGGGAGCTGGAGGCGCTGATCGATTTCTCCGAGGATCAGCATTTTGACGAGTCGCCGGCGGAGTTGGTGAGGAATGTTACGAGCCAGATTGGACCTATCCTTGAGGCGATCAGGCGGCATCAGAAGGGAAGCAGGTATGGAGAGCTGTTGAAGAGGGGTATTCGGATTTCGTTGCTTGGGCCTCCGAATGCGGGGAAGAGCTCGTTGTTGAATATTATTGTTGATCGGGAGGCTTCGATTGTTAGTGAGGAGGCTGGTACGACGAGGGATATTGTGGAGGTTAGTGTTGATATTGGGGGCTATTTGTGTGTTTTTGCCGATACGGCTGGGTTACGGTCGTCGAGCTCTATCGGTGGTGTCGAGCAGGAGGGCATACGGCGTGCGAAGGCGAAGGCGAAAGACTCGGACTTGGTACGTTTATTCCCCTTGTCAAACCGTCTTCACCAGTCGTGGTACATTCATTGTTCTCGACATCCGAATGTCCTAGATTTTGGCACAATTAAAGTCCTCTCGAGCCAAAATGTAGAGCGAGATGAAGTACATCAAAAGCTAATCCAATTTGAATGTCTCCCAAATTGAGGGATATCCAAATTCTTCTCCCGGATGTCTAACACCTGGGGAACGTTTTATGGCAGCCATTGGCTTGTTACTGTTCCTCAAATCGTGACACATTCAGTCCCTTTGTATTTGATTGTCTCGAGAGTTCTGGGACTTTTGGAAAGAAGGAATACTAACTATTTTCTAGGTCATAGTTCTTGCATCCGTTGAACCGTCGGACTCTTCAAACTCGTCAATCTACCAACTTGCGTCAGGACATTCAGGATTGTCAACCTTCTGTAAGTGCATACTTGATATTTCATGACCTCTAGCACATTGCGTGAACCCCTTTCGGATGTCTCGACAGCTGTGCTACATTGATTCTTATAAATGTCTCTGGACTTTCGGAACATTGACTGATTTTGATTGTACCAGGCGACCTCGAAAGTCTCAAAATCGCAGCAGAAGCCGAGCAAGCTATTGTCGTCGTCAACAAATGCGACTCAACTCGCGACCTGGGCACACAACTTGAATATACCAAAACCAAAATAGACAATCTACTCCCAGGCAGATCCCCAGCTGTGGTCTCAATCTCCTGTCGAGACGCAGAACAATCGGGAGGACTCGATCCTGGAAACATCGGCGCCCTCCTCGACATCCTACAGACCACATTCGGGATAATGACAAACGTAGGGGACGATCTGGACCTCCTCGGTGTCTCAGAGCGACAAAGCCAACTTCTATCCACTTGTACCGAATGCTTTGAACGATTCAAAGATGAAGCTCTTCAAGGCGAGGAATGCGACATTGTGGTTGCCGCCGAGCACCTGCGAGCAGCCGCTGCCTGCCTAGCCCGGATCACAGGACGGGGCGAAGCAGGAGATGTCGAGGAAGTCTTAGGCATCGTATTCGAGAAGTGCGTCCCCATCGATGTCCCTCAACTCCAGGAGCAATGCTAACAATCACAGATTCTGCGTTGGAAAGTGAGCCCAACCTTCTAAATAAAAAATTCGATTTTGTTAAGAAAGTCTATACCCAAGGACCCCGCAGAAATGCCAATCAACCAACCAGTGGTCATCTAAAAACGATTCGCCATCCCAATGCCGCTAAAGAAATGCCAATCTACCCAATGCAATTCGAACAATGCAAATGAATACTCCGTCCCAATGCCGCTAAGGAATCCAATCTACCCGATGCAATTCGAACAATGAAGGAAGGTTCGCCGTCCCAATGCCGCTAAAGGAATCCCGTCTAAAAACACCTGCAATGCTATGGTCGCTCCGCCAGAAAATGCTGCAAAAAAGGTACGCCGAAAATATGCTCCGTCCCTCTTTGAACGCCGGGAAAATGCTGGGACTCTGAATGGCTCAAAATGCTCGCTCGCTGGAAATGCTGGAAAAGTGGTCTTGCGGCCATGCGGTCTATGGAAATTGGATGGAGGAGAGAATCGGTGGCTGGCCTGCAGTGGGGGGTGAGAAGACAGGACTCAGTTGTATCCACCGCGTCCGTCCTCGGTCTCGTCGTCGTCATCGGGACCGCGCTTCAGGGGTGCATTGTATCCTCCCCTTCCGGCGTCGACGGGTGCGTTGTATCCACCTCGCCCTGAGTCGACTGGTGCGTTGTAGCCGCCGCGGCCGAAGACAGCCATGCTGGAGGATTGGGGTGCTGTGAAGGAAGACATGATGATTGTGGGTGGGTGGTCAGATGATCTGATGGAGGATGGAGCGAAAGCGAGGAAGTTGAAGGGTTGAAGAGAAAGTTGTAGCTTGAGAACTGGTTGAAGCGAGAATAAAAGGATATTAATGCCAAGGATGTCCGCTCTGAATAGAAGATGAGATGAACTGAAGATGCTGATGAGATGAGATGAGAATGAGGATTTGGAATTCTGGAGGTTAACAAAGCCCTCTATATATCCTCCTTCGTTCCTCGCCTAACGACTAGCAGCGCGGGCCAAGCCCCCTTCCCACACACACAAGAATAGTCGAGCTTGTAGTCATCGGCATCATTGCCCAACATAGGGTAGGCAGACCAGGACCAGGACCTAAGCTAAGACGGACAGCCAGCCCCCACCTACCGCGCAGCAGCGGCTGTCATCCCCGTCAGCCTCGCCGTTCGAGCCCAGGCCAGGCCTTGACCCCTGGGAAACTTGCCTCGGCCACCCTGGCCTCCCAATGACACACACCCCAAACCCTTCCCTCCCCTTCCCTCTCGTACCTGCATCGCCAAAAAAGCGACCGACCGACCGACCGACCAAGTTGGCCACGTCCAACGGGTCCGCGAAGCACGCCCAGGCGGGAACACTGGCGTTCCACCCTGTCAGCTTACGGGGTCGTGCGCCACGATTGCGCCAGCAGCGAATCAGGGCGGCGCGGGGGGCATCCCAGTTATTTATATACCCTGTGGCTTTGCTGTATTTTTGGGGTCCGCGCTAGGCGGCTTTGGGATGCTGGTGGTGGGTGCGTCGTCGTCGGGAACCCAATTAGGTAGGGGTGCGGGGACAGGGGGGCCCGCACGGGCGAGGCCGCGGGCTGGTTCAGCCTTATGGGAGGGTGTGGGGCTCGAGAGCGAGGTTTGAAAGTTTGAACATTTGGAGATGATGTGGTGGTGTAGGGGTTTGTCTGACGGAGGGGAGCAGTGGGCTTGCTCGATCTCGGTGATTGTGGGAGGGTCGCAGATCCAGGGTCCCGTCAACGTGGTTTGGATGGGGTCATTATTGTCATCATGGCATTTTTTTGCCCCGGGAACAGATTGCTTATCCGCGTTTGTCAAACGCCGTCAGGAACTTGCCTTGCATCGTGATGTGCAACAGGGTTCTGTTTTACGAACGAACAAATTATTGGCTCCCTCGCTCGCGCTCACACACACTCTGTCTGCACACCTCACTCTCACGATGACTCTCTCGGCGACCGTCACGATCACAAGCATCAATTCCTGCATCTCGGAAATGAACGCGATCGCAGCTCCTAATTGAGCAGATGCACGAGCTCCTGAGGCTCCCAAAAGGTTCGGCGAACTGCGCTCTCGCGGGTCCCACCTCGGCTCAGCCAGCCGCACACAACCGCGCATGAACGAAGGGCCGCACGTTATTTGTGCGACCGTCCGCCTGCATGAACGCCACACTTTAAAATCGTTCACTGAATTTTGAGGTTGTGCGAAAAGCCTCAATGGTTTTCCTGTTCAGGTCCCCTTCCTTCAGGTGGGCAGCAAGCCGTGCCTGCGAAGATGAGGAGATGAAATGAGATCCTGAATCATGCATGCGCGGAGGAATACCGAGTCCGGCTCGGCGAATTGTGTCAACCACTTCCTGTGGTTTTGCCTTTCGAGATGATTGTTGGTTGACACTGGTTTGACACAGCCTGGATGTTTTGATCCTGAGGTTGCGGGTCTCGATGCTTTGTCCGTCCCTGGATCGTGTCGATGTGGAAAGCTTGATCGAGATGGGATGCCTAGAATGAATCATATGAAATATCCCCCCCTATCAGATCGCCACATCTCAAGTTCCAGCGCGTGGGCTACCGTACGGAGAGAAACCTCATGGATGCCTTAGGCCCCTCACCCAGCACACGCAAGCCACATTCGACTCCCCACCTTCCCTCTCATCTCATGACGGCTTACGCCACAGAAGCAGAGCCGCAGCGGGAAGCCCGAGGAAAGCCTGTGGCAGCCACGGCGATCGCGTCTCATCTCCTACTGTACCGCTGAAACGCTCCGTCCGGCTTCTTTTCGCTGGCGCGTGTGCGGAAAAAGTTGTGTGTGAGAGGGGATGGAACGTTACCTACAAAACATGACGCCGATTACCTCAGCCCTGCTCCCCCGCTGCAAAAAGGGATGTCTGCCTCTTCTCTTATCGCGACCCCTGTATGCTGCGGATAAGGTGCGGTAATCTGGCGATCCGATAACCCGCTGTGACGGGGTAGATAGACGCAAGCCCGCCAAGCGCTTATTTTTAGTCGAAGCAGAGGCGGCGGGCGGTGGTTCGCCGATCTTAGCGCGCGATCAGCCACGTTTCTATATTAAGAGGGCCAGGGGTCCTTTTGGGGGGGGAGGAGGGGGGTGAGTGGTGGGTATTTTCCGCGATAGGTGCGCGGTGGAATAGAGACGAGAGAGCGAATTATTGACGACTGATGACTGGGTTTTGACGAAAGGGCGCGGTTCTCTTGGCGGAGTTTCGGAGGTGGGAGCGGAGATCGAGTGAGCGAGGGGTGATTGGTGGGTGGGTGTGGGGCTGGTGATAGGCAGAAAAGAGGCAGGAAGGATTGAGTCAACGCCACGCGTGATGAGGGTCGATTGAGGAGCTGGATTGGATGCTTGTGTCACCAATGGTATGTTATTATCCGTACGAAGATATTTTCAACTTCCACCATGTCTTCTTTCAAAATTGCAAAAATTTAGAATCTTCTGTGTCGTGAGGCAGTGTTCGGGAACGTGGCTGATTTCATTTCCTGCCTAAATGTGGCAAACCCACAACTTTCCACCGAGTTGACCACGGGAAGGATGGAGGTCTGTGAAACGTTCCCCTTTCATTCCCTCGATACGGACGTACGGTGCGTGGCACGCGATCGCGAAAGCCACGGTACGTACGGACTGGAGATCGTGTCCTTTCATCTAATCTGCTGCCTTGAGGCGGGAGATACGAGTTCTGCTTTTAGGAGAGTGCAGCATCGGAGAAATGTCTGGAAGTGGAGGAGGGCACAGTTGATTCTGTTCCTGGATCGATGCGAGGTGACGCACAGGCCATGGATGCTGTACGAGCATGCAATTGGGGAATTACTACAGTACGTTTCTTTGCAAGGTACCGGGGCTAGGAGGGAAGTGGGGGTGCGGCGGGTAGGGCTGAGGATTCGCGAGAAGACCTCGTTTTGGAATACTGTGCGTGAGTGGGGGCGCGAGGCTGCACGAATGAAGGGAGGGGGGTAACACCGCATCTGCATGTCGAGTCGAGGTGCCTGTGGAGGGGTAGGACGAGGCTGTGATGTCAGAGAAGGGGGCCGAAATAGCTCCGTGATGGTTACAAATTGCATTCTTGCAGTGTACGAAGTTTAGCAAGATTTTCAATGAGAGGAGTCACCGACGTAAGGGTCAGATGATCGACGTGCGTGTTATTAATGGATTGTCCAATTGATGATTTGAGAAGGAAAGTGAGCATCGTAATATCACTGCTGACTACATGTCCAGACTCAACTTCTTTCTAGCTGTCCAAAATGTCTGACTACTGTATCTTGATCATCAATCTCACCCCACCGAAACTGCGGAAATGAATCTCCCTTCTACAAATCGTACCGGTAGATCTGGAGTGAATGTTGTGTGTGTCCAAACCAACATCTTTGTGCTGTCCAAAATATCTGCCCGTCGGATCGCCAACCATCCCCCACCAAAATTCGAAAATATAGTACTCTATAAACAGTATCCCGGAGATTCAGAGTATAATTATATCGCTTTCTTGAGTCCGGCTGTCATGAGGACACTCGTCATCACTTTCTCGCAGTCGTGAAGCATGGTTGTGTTCATCACGCTGGTGCGGAGCCCTTCTCCGGCTCGCGCTTTTCATCTCCTCGTCGTATTTCCCGAGCGCCGATCTCTGGTCCGATTCTGAAGTAAGGGAGCCGACGAGTTTCCCAGCGTCAGCGATCGTTCTGATATCGTTAGCAGAGCACGGAGCAATAAAGTTGGTGCTTCAGATGGTTGTTCAGACCGAACCAGGAACACTGGGTGCAATGCCCGGGTTGAGTGTTCAGAAAGTCACTGGTCCATTGAGGTGAACACATACGATCAGTCATCGGGTGGCCAGCATCACCAGCCAACGTCACTCGGCCGTTCTTTTGTCCCAATTATGCTCAGGCAGACTCGGGTCTCAAACTGCGAGATTAGGCGCTGCGATGTGCAATGGGTGAAAGGACTGGAGGAAAAGAGCTTGCTTGGCGGCACACCCTCCTGGACGAATTTCGCCGAGTACTCTATGCCAGTCGCGCCGAGAGGGCCTTCTCCGGTCCGGAAAGTATCTTGCTCAGTGCCTCACAGAAGATCTCGCACCATCTGTGCCAAGAATCAAACGCCCAGTGGTCCGTTCCCCATCCTCAGACACACTGCCGCTCTTCCCCCATCAGATCCCACAACAATGTCTCTCAATCATTTGTTCCATCCTATGTCCAGGCCTTGGGATAACAGAGCACGCAGCTTTGACCGATGCAATCATTGAAAAAATTCGCTGTATTGATTTTGCTCATCACTTCGCTAGGGCGGCCCCATTGGGAACGTGTTGTTGTCGATTGGCTTCGTGGGAGTATTGGGAGTCTGGGATCCACTTGGGCTGATTGAAGTTGTGCTGCAGCGGAATTTGGCATTAGTTACTACTTCAGTCTGTCTGGGAAGAGCCCAGTGCGGCCCCGTATTCCAACCCCGCTCACCAGGAGAGAAGAGAGCAGCATTCTTCTCGAAGATAGTGGCTGGAATTCCGGCCTGCAAAAAGCCAATTGGGTCATGGATGAAGCCAGAGGCAAAGGTACCTTTTTCAGGCCCTGTGCTTTCGCAATTCCAATACTACCTAATTATCGTTTCAGCAGGATACTATCTATGGTCCCCCGTACGGCAGAATCATACCTGATCCAATGATGAGGACTGGATCGCGAGCTTTCGGTACACCTCGCGTTCACCTGCGATATCGCCCACGTCCCTTCGTTTAGTTTTACCGGTGGCTTGGCTGCGGGGTACAATGGATATGCAGGAGCACTGTCGTGAATGGAGGGCCGCGTGGAACCTGGGGTGGCTTCTAGGGTATGTGCTTCCGCAAGGTCAGATAGACAAAGTCTCACAACGCCAAAAAGCAATCCAGACGTTGGATATGAGCCTATCTCCCTCGCGTTTTCCAAGAAAGTCCAACTGTCGGTCTTTGTGATCGCTCATGTTGGTATGCTATCAACAGGGACAGGGGAGGTTCCGCATTGGGCCACGGCACTGCTGTCGCCATCCACGGGATGGGCCGTTTGCGCCCGTTTGCGCCGTTACAGCTGCATCATCCTATCGCGTGGAGAGAGCTCTTTGCTTTTTATCACGAATACCTTCACTTGCATCATTCATATGCTCCTCTCTGATAAGCACTCCCACTTATTCTCGACGCTCAGTCGCTGACAGGAGGCCTGCTGGACGACTGGGCTGCTGGTGAAGTGTGCGCTGGTGGCGCAGGAGTGAGCCGTCATCCGTGCCGTGAGACCACTGAAAGGGCCGACCCCACGACGGTCCCGCACCTCGAATGCCCGCTTCCCTCCCATCGATCGCTGGCAGAGTCGAAAAAGGGGCGCCGGCTTTCACATACACATCTCGAGATCTCACCGAGATCTGTCACATTTTGCATTCCGCGGCTCGGGATCTGGGGAAGGGGTAGACGATGTGAAGAACGCAGGTTGCATTCAGCCGGGCGGAGAGGACTACTACTAATACCCGACCCCTCCTCAACCACTTCCCACGACGGGCACAGCTGTACGACATGGCGGAAACAAATATAGAGCATGTGCAGCCTGCGAGCCCTGAGCCGATGATCTTGGCCGTAGACGATGATCTTGAGGCGCAACATCCAGGGCACGATTCAGCATTTTCACGGACACCTATCGCCGACCCGGAAAGCTCTGCAGAGCTCGGCGTCGACCACGATACAGGCGGCTTTGCAGATGAGGAGGGCGAGGATATGCATGGAGGCTTCAACGACAATGACTCTACCTATGGTGGTTCGTTGATTGGATGCGACTCGGACACTTTGGCAAGCTACATCACGGATTACCGCTACGAGAACGGGAGGAGGTATCACGCATACAGAGGTGGAGAATACTGGGTAACCGTCTCTCTTCATCTACGCATTGCACGTGGCTGACACGAAGAAGGGACCCAACGACGAATATTCCAACGATCTGCAAGATCTGGCGCATCACATGTATCTCATGACCCTGGAAGGAAAGCTCCACCTCGCGCCTCTAGACAACCCACACAATATCCTCGACATCGGAACCGGGACTGGAATCTGGGCAATGTAAATCTCTCTCTCTCCAGAATTTTCACAACAGGCAAAAAAGTGCAATGCTGACACCCTTAGCGAAATGGCCGACGCCTACCCCTCAGCCCACGTAATCGGCACCGACCTCTCCCCCATCCAACCCCTCTTCGTACCGCCAAACTGCGCCTTCGAAATCGAAGACCTGAACCTCGACTGGACATACTCCAAGAGCCAATTCGACTTCATTCACATCCGGGAACTGTTCGGGTCTGTGGCCGACTGGGACGAGTTCTTCTCCTCAGCATTCGAACACACGAAACCCGGGGGATATGTGGAAGTGATTGAGCATAGTGTGTTTCCCGTGAGTGATGATGGGACGGTGAATGAGGAGAGCTTCTTTACCCTGTGGGGGAAGACGGTTGTGGAGATGGGGCGGAGGTTCGGGAAGAGCTTCACGATTTGGGAGGAGAGTAGGGAGAGGTTAGAGAGAGCCGGTTTTGTCGATATCGTGGAGAAGAAATATAAATGGCCGGTGAACGGCTGGCCGAGTCCAGAATATCGAACCCATGGCGATGACGGGGAGAAATCTTGGCAGAGATTAAGGGAAATCGGAGTCTGGAATCAGTTACGATTATACGATGGCGTGGAGGGCTTTATGCTGAGATTGTTGACAGTCGCGGGCGGTGTATGTCCACTCCATTCCCCTACCATTTTCCTTTCCTCCCTTTCAACTCGTACTAACGCTTTTGCACAGTGGACATACGACAACGCACAAGCCTTCCTAGCACGCATGCGCGAAGAAATCAAAGACCTGAAGATCCACGCCTACCTCAACGTCACAGTCGTCTACGGTCGGAAACCCGGCGGTAAAGCGAGAGCTGGGGATCAGCTGCCGCATCCGGCGACGCGTAGTGGGTATGTCAGTCCTGAAGGGGGGTGGAGGAGTACGATCCCGGAAGATTATCAGGGGCTGCCTTGAGCGAGGTTCAATATTTTGTGTTCGCGGAGACGGGCGGAGGGAAATGAGAGAGTGGTTGGAGGTTTATTGATACCACTGGAGAAGAGAGGGAAGGGGGGGGGGGGTAGGATATTATTCCTTGGATACAAGGAGAGAGGGGACTTCTCGGTTACGGGATATGGGAAGAGTGGATCAGAGAGAACGGACGAAGAAGAAGGAGGTGGGGCGACGACCCAAGGCAACTTGTGGAACCCAGGCCGGGAATTGTATATATGACGTCGTCCTGGCTGTATGGATTGGGGGTTGCGTGGATGGAAGACTCACGGTTGATACCTAATTATCGGATGATGTTGATGACAAACTGATTGGGTTGTGAGATGGATAGGAAAAAGTATATGCGGAGGGAGAGATGTATATATCCAATCTAATGAGCGATGTTAACTGACTCCACTTCTGAGTGCCGAAACTTCGACCTTGGTTAAAGCGATTTCTTGGACGGTTCAATGAGTGCGTTGTCCCAGTCCAAATAGTCATAACAGAATCTGGAAAATGGGATCATGTCTAGTAACTTAGACTCGCAATCATCATGCCCGTTTTAAGTGATAGCAGAGAGGCCCGGGATTTAAGTTCCTGAACGTACCAAGTTCATTTCAATATGAGAAGAACCACAGGGACCATTCTCCAACCCATTCATTCCTCACTCTTGAAGAGCTGTTGCCTCAGTGATAGAGAGTCTTTGCCATCAACGCCGTACTGTTGATCACTGAGACTTGCAGTGGTCAAGGAAACGATTTATCATTCCAATAAAACGGATCGCTCCGCTACCCTCTACTCCTCAAAGCTCTTCTCAGCATCTTCGCCGCAACAAAGTCTGTACATATCCCGGTGGAAATCGAAGGTAGTTTCGCTGCTCGATTTCATGCACTCCCTCCAAATACCTGTAGCATTCATCACTAACACAACCCTCCAATAAATCCTTCTTTTACACCCTCTTAACATTCCAACGCTTCCGGGATCTCCTCTCTCTCCTCCCATACAGCCACGCTTTCCGCGTCGCGATGGGAGCTGCCCTGTCTCCGCACATATCTATGCTAGCTCCTAACTATCACACTCTCTTCAGCAGTAGCTGAGGTCTGTAAAGAACCACGAACTTTCCAATCAATTTCAATCCGTTCGCTCCTTTTCCTTAGGACGTCAACAAACGCAGCGAAAATCCTCGCGCATGAGATCATGGCCGTTCTTGTCCCCGTTGCGCGGGTCGCGGATACTCGGCTGCGCTTCCCTGCACAGGACTAAGCCGACGAACTTTCCCGCGTTCACAGACGGGTTGCTGGGGCTGGTTTTTGGGACTTGTGGTTTTCCGTTTGCTTGGCAAGGGTTAATAGTATGCGGGTTCTGGGCGAAGAGCAGCTTTATCGCCTTCAACACACCGCAGAGGAGCACGAAATATTGCCTTACTTCCTCCAGTTCTATCTTAGGGGAATGGCTCGGATTTCGGTTTGTAGTCCCACGGGGAGTTGATGTCGAAGGAAAGTTCACTGCTAGGTTCGGTAGACTGGAGGTGGGCGAGTATGAGTCCCCGGATTTCCCTCTGTATTGGATGAATAGACTTGGTGGATTGGTTGAGGAATCGCTGATTCGCGGACAGGTTGGATGTCCCCCCGCCCCCCATCACGCAATAGTTGTCGCGTCATGTTGGGGTCTTTGATGGAAGAGTTGCTAAATGCATTCTCGGCAGGGTCTTAATTTGTGGGTGGGAGGAGGAGGAAATGCAATTATTTTTTTACCTCTTTTTAATGTTTCTGGTTTCGCTTTAAAGGAAATTATTTTAGCTTTGCGTGGATTGTCAGTGTGAGCATGGTTCGAAGCAGATGACGTACTCTCCAAATTGAAGCGGCCCTCGCCAACATTATTTATCATGGAGTTTTAGAGCCAGAGAAGAATAAAGAAGTGGAATATGTTCATTTCCTCTGTAGGCCTCCCTCGTCTGAATTTTTCAGTCCTGCCTTGCAGACTATCAAAGTTAGGGAAATGATTGTTTGGGCTGTGAGCGCGAGACGTCGTCGAAGCCCCTTTTCAAGCGAAATAAGCGAGCTGGTCCCTGACCGGACTGAGTCAAGCTCCGGTGTTAGGCGAGATATGCCATAATTATACTATCCCCCCCTTGAATACTTACAATGAGTCCAAGGATAACACCACCCAAGCACTGGTCAACTCAAGGGTCTTCAGCGAATAAAGCACCAGATATTTCCTACTTTAGGGATATAAACGAGGTTTCAGGGTGGCGCTACCCAAGGACCCGCTGCAAGTATTCAAGGGGGGTGCCGAGGCTGCTGTGGCGCGTGGGTTCGGCGCGTCTTCACTGAAGTCTAGCCTGTCAGATCTTCAACTCTTCTACCCTCGCTCGAGGGAGTTGAGCATGAGAAGCAAAGTGCTTTAAAATGCCGTCACGCAAGAGATCTTTCTCCTCGAACTTCGACGCCGGACAAGAACCTTCGAACAAACTTTCGCGACTCAGTAGTCGGAGCCAGAAGTTAAGCCCTACTATTACTTAAGCTGTCCCTTAACTATTAATTAGCGTAAATACCCTTGTATTTTTCCATAGTTAGGATTAGCTCCTTATATATGCTCGACCTTAAGATATAATAAATACTTATTTTACTAAAGGATTGCTACCCCCCTTTTCTTTCGCCCTCCTCCCAACGGCCCGCCAGGCATACTCCTAGCATATGGTTGACATTTGCTACTAAGAAGCGCACAAGGAAGTTAGACATACTTTGCTTTATTGTCGCTATTGCCTCTAGCATATGCTCGCCATAAAGAACCCATATACTTAGTATATGCTTGCTAAACCCTAACCCGTAGGGCCTTTGCACTCTAATGTATTATAATACGGAGGGCTCTGACCGCCCCCTAACCCCTCGGGACTAACCCAAACCCTAACCCCTAACCCTAAGCCCCTCGAAAGTTCGGGACTAACCCCAATCTTCCTAGCCCGTGCATATACAGTATATAAGGAAAGTATAAGCTAAATCACGGCTTGAGGACATATCGAGCATATGCTAGCCCATAGTAGGGATAGCTTAAGCGATAGAAGGGAACAGCTAAATAAACGAGCATATGCAGAGTTTGATAGTAGGGGACAGCTTAAGCGATAGTAGGGAACGACTAAAACCTCCGGTAGTCAACCGTTCAAATGACGGCTCGGTACCAGGGCTTTTGGGATCCTTCCAGAAATGGAGCAGCTCATTGATATCCGAATGGTCTGATTCCCGCAATTGAGCGCCTGTTATTCCTTGGAAGACAATCGTGTGCCGCCATGCCTGACGCTGGTCCAAACCATATGGTGGATACGGTGCCTTGTATAAAGAAAAGTCTTTTACAAGAGGAATTTGAGAGACAACTACGAGCGAAATAACTATTAGGGCTAACCTCGGCTCATGTCATCTTTCGTTGCGTTTTATCTGTGCCCCAGGGAAGACATTAGTCACTTGCTTTATAACCCTTCGGAGTGAACAGTTACCTCGGTGTTTATAAAGTCATTTTCAGCTCTGAATACATGGTAAATACACATGCATTGCATTAAATACGCTATTGTTACCCCGAAACGGCTCAACAACAGATCTTGATGCATTTGCGATATCCTGCATATATTTGGCTAGCTGTTCTCTCTTCTCTTCTTACTCTCTTCTTCTCTCCTTCACTTTAGATCCTTCGTATAGGTACACAAATACAAGATCTGATTCATTTACTGGTTACCCCAATCCATTCAGACTCCGCGTGCACATGCCGTTACATCCAAGGGAAGTGTGCTTGTGAAGGAGATAGAGGAAATCGCGAAGGAGAAGGCCATATAATTAAAGTATAGAGTAGAGTACGGGCCATATAAACAACGTATTTCTTACTTTCGGTAGACTTTAAAAGGGACTATCCAGTGTTATCCAGTACTATGCAAGGGGTTTTCCAGAGTTTTATTGCATTAAAATATCCATTAAAGATAATTCAAGACTAAACTATTCAGAAACCGTCCAGAACCGTCCAGGGATTGGCCAGAGGCCACCCAGGGTTTCTGGACAGAACTTGGACAAGTTCTGGCCACTCTGCCACTGTAGGGCCAGATTTATTGCGTATCACCGTCAACAGAGAACCGCTTGAATCTAAGGGGTCTATTAGGCAGCGATAGAGTTGCCGAATTAGAGGATTAAAATTTATTGATCTGGAAGTGTAATAATAGTGTTAAGAGCGTAGTCCTCATAGCACCCTGTACCTCGCAGTGCTATCCGACGTGTTGGACCATCGATAAAGTGCTTAATAGCAAGCCACCTAGCTCGCCAATCGTTTTTGGTGAGACATATACAAATCCTCTGAGGAATATTATCTCGCTCGTCGAGGTAGGTTGGCCATCCGCTAATCGTAGCAATTTCAACTCCAAGCCTAGCTGTCTCAAGTGATTTTACCGAGTGGTGGCAAATATTTCCGTCAAGAACGATATCAACGTCCCACAGAGCGTCATGGAGCTCTCGGTATGACGTATAGTCATCAAATACGCGGTCATTGATAGACCTTTTTTTCATCTCTCCCACCGTCCTAGGAATATCCAAACGGAGTGAGAACCAAAACTCCTTGTTCCTGCTTCCATAGTATTCGGTACGATTGACAACGATACGTTCAGAACGTGGACGGTATATTTCGACACCTTCATCCTCTATTCGTTGCCCAGGACAATCACCACCCAACAACTCAGCGTCCCGAATCTTGCTCTTTCTCTCTCCCCGCTGATTCGTTGGCACCCCACGCCTAACAGATATCAAGTGTACTCTGGCATCTAATGGGTTTTTATCTCCAACGCAATCTAGACTCACACTCCATCCAAAGTCGCTGATTAGGAAGGTATGTTTGTGGTCGCCATTTTCACCTTGGTGAAATCCACGACCAATCAATAGGTCTACAATGACACCAGAGATTGTATGACTGTCAACCTTCAGATCCATCATGAAGTCGTCGTTACTCCATAGTTGAAGTTGCCTATCCATACATATCGGTAACATAGAGCACTGATCGATGTTTGTAATATGTGCGAAAACAAGCACCAAATTAGACAAGGCAAAAATATGATAGCTCATTCCCACGTGAGTGCCACGTACTTGCCCTAACTTATTGATATAAAGCCTTATAGATTGCGGCGAAGGAATATCTCTAGCAGTCTTCAAATTCATATGTTGGAAAGCTTCCACCAACTTATCAACTCGAAGCATGCTCTCTTGCCGCTTGCTGTCGTTGAGTTTGGAAATTTGACGGTGGAATAATACAGCTCCAGCTGAGGCAATGCGCCAATATTCTAGTGAATAATATCGAGTATCAGAAGGCTCTGAGAGTTTTGCGTCAGGCTTAGTGCTGAAATCGTTCTTTTGACGCTCAATACTTCGAGAACGAATGATCGCCACAGCCAAAATGCATTCGATTAAGTCTTGGTAAATGGGGCTTTCATCGGAAATGCTTGACGCCGAGTTAAACAACCTGTACAATCTCTGACTTCCAAAGTTTTGCAGATTGTGACGTTCTTCCGTTTCGATGTCCGATTCCATGGAAGAATCCGGGATTGTTTTCAAAATTACTTTCATGCTTCTATCAAGGAGCAAAATCTCGGAGTCCTCTGCTGCTACCTCAGCGCTGGCAATCGCGCGCCATTGTATGATAACTTGTGCTGGCGATGACGCCGAAGACGTTCCGAAAACCAAGTCCTCATGCTCCGGAGAGCGAATAGCAACGGTCAATCCCAGTATAGTATGGGCCCAGATGACGATAGGTATCACTCCTTTCTCAGACTTGCAAAATAGCTTTCGGTCCTCAGGAAGACTTTGAGTGAGATACAAGTAGTCCATAGCGGCCAAAAGTAGATGGATTGGAAGTGTCCGGATCGGTCTACTATCTCTCAGGAATCGTCGCCCATTATCATCAAAGTAACCAAAATGCTTCCGAATCCGCTGCTCTACAGCTTCTATATTTGGTCACCAGTCAAAATTGCTTGTCTGAGAGCTACAGGCTTCGAGCACTCCAGCGATGTCCTCAAACCCGGGCCTGGACGAATCTTGAATGCCGCAAGTAAGCCTTTGGCTCATACATTCCGTGAGTGCGGTAGCAAGCTCGGTGCGGTTACATACTGCGCCCAGGAAGGAAAGCTGGATAACAGTAGACATGTATCGTCGATCTTGACCTCGCATAGCTCGTGTGACTGTGGGCCCAGGGCCACTCTGCAAACTGATTGAACATGTGGGATGTAGCGGAACAATCTTGGTGTCGTTAATTGAGTGCTTGAATCGATTTTCAAGTGCATGAACAATCTTCCCTCGTCCAAAGACGTTTGCGAGGTCTTCTTCCACCACGATATCGGAGCCTGATTTCCTCAGATCTCGTCCGAGGTCGAGAATTTTTTTCCATGGAAGTGCAGCCGCAACAGCTCCAAAGGCATTTGTGAGCTCAACAGAGAGCTGCATCTGGATTGGCAGCATCTTGAGTGAGAAAGATCAGATAATTGACGAAAGGCGGCACGCGAGGTGTCTCGCGACACTTAGTTGATCAATAGGTTACTGGCCTTCAGAGGATGATACACGATATTTCTTAACCTTTCGTTGGAAAGCAGGATACCTGGATATGATACGCAAATAAAACTGAGCTCTAATCAAAGTCTCTAGCTTAGTACTTCAACTATGCGCATCTCTTCTGAGATTTTATCGCAAGCCTCACTTTCACCCTGCCACGTCAGCTTGCTTGCCTTCGCCCGACTTGCGTGTACCAGCAGCTCATTAGTCGAGGCACGTGTAACGTTCGGATAATGCTAGATTTCAAAGCCAATGGGCCGTCAAATGGGCTTAAGAGATTGCATTAGCAGTTCCTGACCTTCATATAAACCAAGGCATAAGCGTAGTATCGTAAGATTAGAAAGCAAATAATTTGCCTTCAACTTTCAGGAAGCTGAAGGTGGAATGGCCGGGGGTGTGAAGAAGAATTGTGTGCTTTTTACGCGTGAATATGAAACGCGAAAAAGCGTGACCTCTAGCCTTTTATTGGGTGAAGTAGTTAGCGCAGAATTTTCTATGGTAATCTCATTGAATCTAAACCTCTCTTTCTTCCAACGCGGTTAGGCAGCGTCGCCGCTCTGCTCAGGCGCTACTCACCCTCGCCTCACCCTTCTCAGGTTGCTCAGTCACGTTCCTGATCTCTGTTCCATTAACTAATCGCAATTGACTTACTATTTGCTTCTGCTGTGTGAAAGTTAACTCTACACGGCTAGATTTAGGGGTACCAAGTCGGCTCCTAGGAAAACCAAATAGGACCGCCCTAAAAATATGTTGTTCTACCTTGGGATAGATCCTTCTAGTAACGTGGTATGGTCCTGGCTCCTTTTCAGGAGAATATATCCTTGCGCTTTCTCCGAATATTTTCTAAAACGGCTTTAAATCTTTTATTTAATACTTCGAACTCAAGCAATTTGATTTGAAGTATGCCATTTAGTCTGCTTTTATTTAAAATATAAGTATTCGGCATAATGAAAAAGGATATAGGGAGGTAAAAAGGCAATTATAAAATCAAGAAAATATAGACTCAAAACTCGTACCGAATGTGGATTATATACTTGATGTTTTGAAGAGGGAGGAGGAGAGTATATATATATAGGTGTCACGTGCTTTTATCACGTAATCAGAAAAGATAGCAGATCGCGTATGGTGCTTAGTCATGGTATGCTTTAAATTAGGGCTCTAATCTATCCACGCCATGAATCCTGTAAATTAGGGTGTCCATTTTAGTTAGAATAATCAGACATTTTCCTATACAAAATCTGGTCGGATCTAATACAAACAGGTCCCTGTATAGCTGTGACGGCTGGTGTCACATGGTTGGTTTTAGCTAAGGTTCCAAGCTATGGTTTAAACCAAGCTCGCTTCCAAAGCTCGGCGTTTCAGTGGCCTTGGCCATACCTACTTATCCACTGCCACACCTCACTCCTTTTCCCCTTAGCTTTAAATTCTCAAGATATAGGAAATCATTGATCTTTGAGCCTCGTTCCATTGCTCTGTTCCTGCCGTTATAATAGTACAACCGGGAAAATGTGAAACGACGCCCCCCCCCCCTCCGGGGATTAATTGGGGGCCAGACTAACCTAAAGTAGAAGCGCTCGGACAGGAATACTAAAACTTTGGCTTTTTCTTTAATTTAATTCAACTTTATAAGGAATTAATATAATTTAATACTTGTTTTATTTCCTTATACCACTTATTAAGTGCTATTTAAATATAATTTTTTTAATAAAATTTGGATTAGTAATAGCTTTTTAAATTAAAGAAGTTAAAAATTTCATATTTTATAGCCTAAAGGCAAGCTTAAGAAAGCCTAGAAATTTAGCGAACAAGTACCTAAAACCAGATATAAGAGCCCTATAAACCTATATTTTATAGGGCCTTATAAGGCTTAAAAACTAGAACTTAATTAATTAGTATATAAACTCCCTTAAATGAAAATTCTATCTTAAGGAATCTTTTTATTATAAGTTAGGAAGATCGTGATTATAATATTAGAATTAGAATATGCTAGCTTATACTTATATTAAAAAATATAACTTAAGATTTTTGAAGAGCTTAGGTAGCCAATTACAACTTTATCGACACCCCTAATCGACACCCGGGGGGGGGTCGTTTTATATTTTCCCCCAAGAACAGATAGTAGCCGCAAAACAATTGGATAGCACAGAAGCCTCGTCACCCCCACCTTAACTATCCCTTCGTCTGCTGAGACATGTCCCACGCTAGCAGCCGCATAAATGCGGATAGCCTAATTGGAGGAGACGGTTGTATTCTGGCCTAACTTAGCGGACGAAGGGATGAGGCTGGCTTTGAGCACTCACTCGGATAGCCTCGCTTTTGGAGTCACCGTAAGGAGGTTCTTGAACAGCGACAGTCTGCCGATTTATAATATAATATATAGGTCTACGTAGTTCATGACTGGCGTTCCTATAGATGCTGGAAAACCATTGCGTGACAACCACTGCAGGATCCAACCTGGCTGTGAGGACAAAGCTGAAGGAGATGACGTGGCGGCAAAGCATAGGTCGGCAGGAGAAGCTTATTGTTCCGTATGCATGAGCATTACTGCAGAAGCTCATGACAAGTCGGCTTGCTATATTTTGCAGCCCTACAGCGATCAAGTCCATCCCGTGCGCCACATTGCCTCAAACAGACAGCTGCATTTCAGCTCCTTCAGCCACTATGCAAGTACAAAAGCGTACGGCGTTGAAAACCGTCCATCTGCCAAAATGCGAGGAACACCAAAATCGCTAAGTTCAGAAAATCACACCAAATCTCAATAGAACGCCCGAAACTCTTCAAAAGTGCTTTATATAATAGAAAAGAAGCAGATCTAACTTTAGCAAAAATTTTATAATAATAGAATATAATACGGAATTATGAGAATTTTTGTAATATGAGCGTTAAAATTGCGCCCGTCCTCGCTTATCGAGTTGGACGGATTTCAATGCCACGCGCTTTCGTATGCAATATTAATCAGCTGCCAGTATATATGACACCTCCAAAGTCCATCTGAATGTGTCTCCTGCCAAGTCCTCGATCATATTCAGACCCTCTGTTACACTATCGAACAATCGTGTTTCTGACATCTCGACACAAGGACAACATTTTTTCCGCAATCCGAAGATTAAAGCATCCCTTGGAATTAATACTACAAGCATTCTTATCAATGGCCGAGGGAAAAGATGTCGAGGCCGGTACCCAAACTGAGCCAAATATTGAGAAATTCCCTAGAGGTATAATTTGTGAAAACGACCAACTGGACATCTTTCGCGCCCGTACCGGTATCGACCGCGATGAACATAGACGAGCTAACATCTTTCGCCGCCTTTTCGGGATCCTCAACGATAAAGGACGAACTAACATCTTTCGCCGCCTTTTCGACGAGATCCTCAACGATGAAAAAAGACGAAATGGCGAACCGCACTGGCCAGCCCCCAACCTGGGCCTATACCGACACATCGTCCGCGAAGAGAAGGCAGCAAACCGGAAATATATCGTCTTCTCGCCCCTCATCAACTGCTGTCTGGCCCTCCAAATCGTCATTGCCGCCACGCTGACCGCTGTAGGCACCGGCAACGGCCCCCACGCAGTCGTGACCGTCTTCGGCGCTTTCAACACCGTAATCGCAGGCCTCATGACCTACATGAAAGGCGCTGGGTTGCCGGGCTGACCCAAGTTCGTCCAGGCCCGATGGTGCGCGCTGCGGGACCACATTGAGCAGTTGGAGCGCGCTTTTGGCTGTGATCATCTCTCCCTGGATGTGAATGACGAGGTCAAGAAAGTAGAGGATATGTATTGGCAGACCAGGGCAGAGATCGATGCCAATACGCTGGATGGGTATGCGAGGCCAAGAGACAATACAAAAAATGGTCCACGTACCACTGGATACCCGCGCCCTCGTACTGCGCAGTTTGAGGAAATGGTCCAATTAGGCCGTAAATTGGACTTGGCAGGGCGCGAGGCCCGTAGATGGAAATTGCAGTTGGAGCTCTCAGCGCTAGACGTTGTCTCAGAGGAGGAGAATAAGGGAAGATCCGTCGCCGTCGAAGGAGCAAAGACCACAGGAGGATCGAAGAATAAGACAATGGATGTGGGTAAAGAGATAGAGGAAGGAGGATAAAGGAGACAAAGGACATTTGGGATTCTCGGAAATGAGAAATGTTATCTAAATCTTAATACTATAGTAACCTAATATATAATACTCTGAAATGAACGTTATTCGCGGACCCTACTCACCGTTGCATTAGAGGGTTATTATTCCTTACTATAACTCCGTGGACGCGTTTAAGATAACTATGGAAGTAGTCTAAACGTGGCCACAACTTCTTCGATTTGTATCCTGTAAAAAAACAACGGTACTTCTCCGTGGGTATAGTTACTAAAGGATGCTTGCGCTTAGTATATCGACCCAGATCATTTGTCGACCTGAATCCCTTAATGCGAGTATATCCCGGCACTTGATACATAAACGACTTCCTATATCGCAAGTCATGCTTCCTATATTTATTAGCTTCTATCAGGTTAACTCTTTCTGTGGTGGGGTTTTTTCTCTCTTGTCCCGTGACTACCGTCACGTGTCCTGCTTCCCAGGCATGCTGGCGCTAGTTTAGGGGGTTGCATAAGACTTCCGTCCATACGTATGATTAGCCTTCCCAATACATTAACCTTCGGAGCCCCTTATTTTTGACTATTTATATTATTTCGTTACTAGTATTAAGAGTCTTAAGATTATTATAATTAAGATAATATAATTTATTAATAAAAATTATTAAGTTATTTCTAATAGAACTTTCGAGTTTTAAGCTCGAAATAACTTTGAATTTTAGAGCTATTAATATAAGTTATATTCTTTTCGAACTTTTTTATTATTAAGCTTTTTTAATAAAAGCCTTAGGGTTTTTTATTTTAGTTATTCTTATTAAGGAAAATAATTACTAAGATAATTAAAAGATGCAAGTAGTTTATTAGAATAAAAATTTGTAATTTATAAATAAATTTAGAGAGGCAGATAAATAATAATAATAAAAGAAGATATATAAAGAAGTAAAGTTTGGGAGGTAATACAAGGCAATATTATATTATGAGAAGAATCTGCCTTGGGAGATTAAAGAATGCATTTTTGAAGGGGTCCTATTTGGACTTCTTAGAAGCCGACTTGGTTCCCCTAAATATAATTATATAAAGTTAATAACTTTCGTTTGGCGGAACCGAATAGGAAGTAAATTATAATTAGTTAATAGAAGCGAGATCATGTATATGACTGAGTAACCTGAGCAGAGGGTGAGGCGAGGGTAAGTAGCGCCTGAGCAGAGCGGCGATGGTGACTAACCGCGTGGGAAGGAAGGGAGGTTTAGATTCGATGAGATTACCCCAGTTATTACCACGCCAGTTCTTCCCAATATCAAGATTCACGTTCAGAGTTTCTAAGCCTTTCATCGCCGCGATATTGCGCCATATTTCATTCCAAGCGTGTGGATAGGCGGCAACTTGACGGCCTTCATCATGTTCATCCGGAATCATTCGATAAAATATGGGGTGGAAGATTCCGCCAGTAAAAGGTAAGCGTCCGAATGGTGTTGACGCTTTGTGGGAGAATGAACAATGGAAGATATAGCATAACGCCAACATACAAGGTCACAAATGTGTTGGCAGAATAGAGATAATCGATGGCTTCTGAATAGCTAACGATGCAGGCAGTGTCAGCTTTCATGTGATGCGACTACAGATAGGAGGGTCTGCATATGTTTCTGATCGTACATTTGTTTGCTAGACAGCAACATTGATAGCAATCTCCTCGGCTCACTCCCTTCTTTTCACAGCGTTGACCACTGCATGTTAACGGATCTGAGGATACACAACACGCTCCTTCGAAGCGGCGGCCCTCCGGACCTATGGTTTTATACTTAACCAAGATCGAGAGATGAAAAGTGTGGCCCCCAAGAACGTCTTTCCAGATGGCCTGCCGAACTTCCAGAGGCAACACATCCAGCAAGCCGCGTGACGGCGGTGATTTTTTTCTCAATCCCGTCTTTGGGATTTGGCGATGGAGGGCGCGTCAAGATCGTCCGCTCTAAAACGCCTATATGTGCATCAGGAGGACTCTGACAGCGTCGGTCATGCCAATGAATCTTGCGGCGCGGAGGTGGCTTCCTAAAAATCCTTGGCCAAGGGAATTGTAACACGATTTCAACAAGACCACTCGAAAAGTTTTGCAGTTGGCGATATCTCGGGGCCGAGAAGGGCGGAAGAGAGCTGATACTGAACGTCTAACGCTCGGGCTTCGAGGGTAACGGTGTTGCTTGTTGCCGGCTTTGCTGCTTTAAAAGGGAACAAAAGCAGATGGAAGAAGTTGAAAGGTCTTCCTTCCTTTTGCAGCCTGGAGTCTTGGAGTTCTGGAGTCCTGGGGTCAGCGTCAAGGGTGCCAAGCGGAGACTCCTAATTGGCCAACGAATGAATCCAAGCCACCCTGTAAAACTATATCTCCTTGGAGGACGTGCGCTATCAACTTACCATCAATATCCCTGGACTTGATTCCTAGAAGTTGGAAAATTCTTGGGCAAAATATGACTTTTTTTATTTTTATAAGAGATTGAACTAATGGGAAGCTGCTTGATTGCGCTAGGGTTACCGAGGCCATTAGCGGGCTAGTCGACAAAACCGAGAAGCGAAAAGTGATTTTCTGATTTTTTGATTTTCGCGCCCGCACCCCCCCCTCCCCTCTCCCATACCTCACTAAAAAAAAAAAGTACAGTATATACGCCTTATTCTCGACTACTCCTAGCCCCCCCTTAGCTTGCGTAGTCCGTAAGGCAAATCCCATGGATTACGAGGCATATCTCTATCTCTCTCACTCTCTATATCCTCCGTATTACCTATATTACTCGAATTATCTATATCTCCTTTATTCCCTTCTCCTCTAGTATCCTTACCCTCCTCTGCTATAACCTTCTTCCCCATTGCCTTCTGACCTTATATCTATCTTTATACTCGCTTTCTATATCTTATAGGCAGTTAAGGCTTTAGTATAAAGGGTTTTATAAATACGGAGCGAGGCTTTCCAGACTTGGTAGGATTAGTATTAAGTTAATAGAAAATATAGACTTTACTATTATTATTATATCTATAATTTATATAAGTACTATCGAATTTGCCTTCTATAACTATATAGTATTTAAAAGGGCTTCTTGGCCTCTTCTTATTATTATAAGTAGTATAAGCTTGAGAGAATTCGGTTCTATAAGTATATATTAAGCTTGCCTCTAGATTTGCCTTGCCTTTCTCTAATCCCTTTAGCTTTCTACCCTAGTATAGCTCTATCTCTCTAACTTTAGCCTTATTATTAATTCGCTTTACTACTTTAGTAATATTATTGGATAGTATAAAGAGATTAAAGTATTATTATAAAAGAAGAGGAAGAGGTTATATATAAAAAGGAAGTTATATATAAGGAAAAGGTCGAGAAGCAAAGAGGTTTATTAGTTAAATATATTAATAGAAGAGAATATTATAAACTAAATCTGAATTATTAGAAAATATATTATAAATATTATCTTTTTGCTTATTTATAGCTTTATTACCTTTTTTATTACTTTTGCCTTTACTAGAGCTATTATCTAAAGCTATATTTAATATGTTTTTAATAAAGAAAAGCTTTAATAATAGTATTATATATTAGAATTAAAGTTGTTTTTAAAAGAAGATTAAAGTTAAGGTTAAGGCTAAGATTAAAGCTAGTATAGCTATATCTTTATTATTTATTTTTAGGATATAAAAATATATATTTAATATAATTATTTAAACCCGAATAAATTTATAATAAATAATACCTAAAAATAGAAATATTAGTACTTAATAGCCTTAGGTTAAGTATATTTAAATATTAAAAAAATTATAATTTTAGGTATTATAATTATAAAAATAAAGATATAAATATTTTTTCTTTTACTAATTTATAAAAACTAAGATATACTAATAATAATTAAATTATATTCGACTTATATAATTAGCTAATTTACTTTACTAATTATAAATAATTCGAGGTAATTTAAATCTCTTTAAATTTCTATATATAGTTTATTATACGAACTTCTATATCTTTATATTTAGTAATACTATAATTATAATTTTTAGATAAAAAGAATTCTCTTATTCTAGTATATATAATTATATTTATTTCTTATTTTTTAAATATATAATTATTAAATTAGAAAGGCTTAAGAATTCTAAGTAATACTTTCTTTTAAGAAATATATATCTTTAATAAATAATAAAGTAAATATAGAATTATATTATAATATAATTACTTTATACTAGTAATTTTATTTTCTATAAAACTATAACTTTATTTTATTTTTATTCTAAAACCTTTATTTTTCTTTTATATGTTTTTGATTTTACTATTAATACTAAAAGCTTCTATTCTTTACTAATATCTTCTCTATTAATACCTCTATTAATATTAAGAGCTAGTATTTAATTATTTTATAACCTTTCTTTTCTTCTCTAAACTCCTTTTCTAAATCCCTTCTCTAAATTCCTTCTTCTTTAATACTTCTATTATTAATACTAAGAGCTAGTATCTAATTACCTTATAATCTTCCTCTCTTTCTTCTTCTCTTCTTTCCTTTAAACCCCTCTTTTAAATCCCTTCTTTAAATCCCTCTTCTGAATTCCTTCTCCGAATTCCTTTTCCTTTAATACTTCTATTAATAATACTAAAGCTAGTATCTGACTACTACTTCCGGGTTACTTTTATCTAGAACTCCTATATTATAAGTCTTTAACTTACTTGCTTCTTAGAAAACTAAATTTTAGATTTCTTTTTTCTTTTCTAATATCTTTTTTTCTTCTTTTCTAATACCTCTTATATCTTTAGGCTTTTTAAGAATATTTTTTCTCAAACTTCTAAAAAAGAAGCTAATTCCTATTTAGCTTCTTCAGAACTTTAATACTTCCTTTCTTTCTTTAATACTTATAAAAGCTTTTGGGCTATTACTAAGTACTTTTATTCTTTATCTTAAAATATATACTAATTTATTCTTATAGGAAATAGCTTTTCTTTTTCTAATTTCGATTTCTTTAATATATACTTCTTATCTTTAGGCTATTTAGATATTTCCCTATTTATTTTTATAAAATATATACTAACTTATTTTTTAGTTCTTCTTATTTTATTTTTTCTTTAATATTATTATATATATATCTAGTTAGTACTAGTTCTTATAACCTATAGTTAGGCTTTTTATTTATTAAATATTCGAGTATTTTATTTTATATATTTTACTTTTCTTTTATTATAAATTAGGACTTAAATAGTATTTATCTTAAATATTTATATTCTCGGGTATATAAGATTCCTATAAATCTTTTAGAATTATAAACTAGCCTATTTTAGTTTAGGGAAGCTTTCTTAAAAGTATTTTAGAAGTTATAGTATTTACTATAATTTTTCTCAAAGATTAATATAGTATAAATATTTCTAGTTTATTTTCTTTCTATAAAGTAAACTATTATCCTAAGTCTATATAAAAGTTCTAATTATCTCTCGAGTTAAAATATAAGCATTTTTTATTTCTATTAAATTAGATATAAAGAATAATAGATGCCTTTAGGCTAGACTATAGTACTAGTTAAGTACTAAGATTTCCTATATTTATCTTATAAACTTATAATTTAAGATATATTATATTTAATAAGGCTTTTATATCTAATTACTTTATATTATAATAAAATGTCTTAGTATTATAGTTAGGAGAATTCTATTTTATAATCTTATTTATTACTTATAGATTTTCTAGCTAATAAGTCTTGGCTAATAGCTAAGAAATTTATTAGCTACTTTATCTAAAGCTTCTAGAAGCAGGAAGTTACCCTAATAAAGACTTAGTATTAAAAATGGATTTAACTAATTAATCTAAATAAGAAGTTTATAATAGGAGTTTTTATATCTAAGTAATTTTATATAATAAACTCAAGTTCCTATTTCTGGTTATATAAGTTATAATATATAATAAACTCAAAATTTTCTGGCCTATTAGAGCTTGAATTATTTTTAGAAAAATTAGTAAGCTTTTCTAGATAAACTTATTAAGGCCTTAGTTTTTAAAGATATTAGTTTAGTCTTCTTACTTTTCTTTTAAATAATAGTTTGGCTCTTAGAAATTATATATAAATATTAGAGGAAATAAGGAGATATACTATATATATTTTCTAGATAGATTAAAATAAAACCTATAGGATTCCTATAATATTTATATTAAATTTATAATACTAGCTAGTAAAGACTTTAATAACCTTAATAAGACTTGAATTATAAGCCCGGTCCTTAGATTTCCCGCTTAACTTAAAAATTAAGTAATTTATAATAGGTTACTTATTATAGAATATATTATACTTTTTTCTTAAAAAGTATTAAATACTAGTAATAGTTCGGAAACCCTAAAGCCCTTAAGACTCTTTGTAAGTTTCGGGCTTTGGGGCTTTTCTATAGCTAGCCGATTATATAGAGTCACGTGACTACGCGGGTCCGGTATTAATATAAAGTAATTAGTAACTTTATATATAGATATAGTATGGTTTTTAGTATAGCTAGTCTAATATATTATATATTTATATATAAATACTTATAATTTTATTATTATAATATAATATATCCTTAATATATTCTTAATATAAAAATCTCTTTATAATTCTAGACTTTTAGGAGCCTCCTTTATACTAAAAGTAAAGTATATAATGCGATTTAGGTATTAAACTCAAAAAGTAAAGAATTATAAAGGCTCTAATAATTATAAGACTTTATAAACTTGAGTAGATTTAAGTATTATAAAAGTACTAAATTTAGTAGCCTGACTTTTAAATTATATAAGAACTAATTAAAGAATATTACTTTAAAATATTAATTATAAATTTCAAGTATATATATATTTATAAGAAAATAAAACCCAAAATAGTACTAAGCTAATTATAAGATATAAGAAAAAGTATATTAGATATTAGGCCTATTTTTTCTTAATTATCTTAACTTTAGTAAATATTTATATATAATTTATTAGATCTTATATAATAGATTTATTTAGGAGAAATAAGGTTAATTAGTCTAGGAAGTTTA